TTCAGAAGCAGCAGCTGTGATTGCCAGGTCAGGTAAATGCAATTTGCGTGGGAATGAATCACTAAAGGGAGTAGGATTCTGAGGAAAGATGGTGCAATATTTATACATAGTAATCTAGTGATGGAGTGGGGGGACGGAGGAAAAGTAAGAATGAAATAAGTCAAATAAAAAGGAAAGGAGACACTATAGATGAGGGGGAAAGGCAAAATGTGATGATGAGGCATTAACCGGCTGTAAGGGGAAGATAAAGACAAACTGGGCAGCGAGGAGGGAGGGAGGGCGAGTGGGAATATCCAAAAGGAGACAATGAAATAACGTAAAGTCTTGGCTTTTAAGCGGTTGGATTTTTTGTTTCAAAAAGTATTCTTTCAACACAATCCACTCAAATTAACTCAAAACTTCCACCTTCATCCTCACTCCCAAGTAAAAGTTTACAACCACACCATGTCGGCTAACATCCGATCTTGCCCGTCAGCCCACCTCAGGCAAGCAGCAGCCATCAATGATAGATGGAGCATGAATTAATCATGGGGTAGGGGGGGGACAGATACACAAACACACAGTGAGGCCCCATAGGGGAACAACTAGGGGAGGTCTCACTGTGTGCTAAGCTAAGCAGCCTGCACACATTAAAGTGGAGCTCCAGCATCACTTAAACTAACATTACACAACACAAGGTCAGCAGGATATGTTACGAGAACTTGTGAGTGTTGTGGAGATGAGATAAAGCACTTTAAGCCAACCTTATCCTTAAGTACAAACATGAGATGAAACAGCATAAGAAACTTAAGTGTCGCTGCTCTGGTGTGTTTGAAGTGCTAATATAAGTACTTATGTGATGCATTAAAGAAAAGTAATTCACTGGATTAACACCGACACTATAACAAATTTGTATCAACAATGTGATGAATGCTGCAATAAATTGTGAAACGTAATGTTGGTAAGGAAATATAACTTAATTTAAAGGACCAATATGTAAAAAAATCTACTGAATTAAATCACAAACGTACCTAACTTCATCAGACGTTAAAGAAACATGCTGTGTTTGTAGTGCTGGCTCCTCTGACAACAACGCAGCAGCCAGTATGTCCTCCTTCTAAGTTTCAATTGCAGCCCAGAATGGTTTTTATTTGTTTGGACCAGACGGTCATAGAAACTGTGAGTTAAAGCAAAGTTGGAGTTTGTTTATTTATCACAATGTCGTTATCTCAATATTGAAGAATGTTATCGCACATCTCATATTTATCCTCCTCATATCTTACCGGCCTACTGTTAACGTCGCCCTGTCTCAAAGAAGATTAGAGGTGAGGTGTCAATAACGTCAATGTAATCACAAAACTTTTATCAAACTGTCAGGTGCTTACAGGTTATACAAAAAATAACCACTACCACAAATCTTAACATCTAAACCGTGGTTTAAAACGCAAAAGTGAAAGCTTCCTAAGCAGAATTTTTAAAAATGCAATCAATATAATCATACACAAGTTATTATTTTGTGTCAAATTATTGATATCTTTGGTAGATTTTTATGTGAAAAGCAAAATAACTGTGAGCAGGTCGTTGTATCTATTAGAATAATAAGCACATTTTAGATTTATTGCAACACTACTTTTGGCTACATCCCTAATATGCAGGCAAACGTGAAGCAAAAGTCGTGACAGTCATGGTGGTCATGGTGTCACCAGGCGGGCGCAGCAATCTCTGGGATTTGATGAAATGGACCTGATTGATTCAATTAGACTTCTTGGACTCACCTCAACTGCAGCAAGCAGACTGACACCGCCTAAGCCGACGAGGCAGCCATTAATAAATCCCTGCTAAGTGTTTGCCGAGCACTACAGCCAGCACGGCCTCTATCACACACACACACACACACACCACACACACACACACACACACAGAGTCTGACAATATGTTTAGAGCACATTTAACACACTCAGTAGGCATGAATGTGTGCCATAAAGTAGCACAAACTAATTGCCAGTAGGTCAGGTAATTACTGACATAAATCCAGTCAACACACTTTGAGCTTAGTGTACTGACAGAATACACAGAAGTGTGTGTGCGCCTTTATGAATGTCTTAATTTTAAAACCCATGATCGTACAGAAAACACTTGTGCATGGATGACAAGGTTACAAAATAAGTTTGGACAAAGAGCTGCAAGCTTAGTAGTGCAGTGCTTCTGCACTCATGGGCACTAAGAACAAACATTCTTAAGCACAGTCGGTATCTCAGTTATGTTGTTTGGCAGCATTTACACTGCTGCAGCAAAGGAGCAAATGTTCTGTGTGCACATGTAGGAATAAGAAGGAGGAAAGCAAAGAGAGACACTTTGGAGATGAAAACACTAAACTGATGAACTGAGTGGCTTCTAAATATGAATAAAAACTGCACACACAACACATCTGATCTGTCATCACATTGCCCTACAGGCACACATGGGGCTCAGCTGTGAGGCTGCACCCTCAAGCTCCTCTTACCAGTCCACCTGTCCCAAGCATCTTAATCGTGAGCTTTTAGAGCACTTTACATACATGACAGCTTTGGTTGTGAATGTGGGGTGCAGAGTTGGAGGTGTTATGAGGGTACACACCTGGCTTCACAGTCTTCAGGCGGATGGGCTCCCGAAAGTGCCGGACCACAGCCAGCGTGTCCCGGTTGGTGAGTCCGCTCACCGGAGTGCCATTCACCTCCAGCAGCACGTCCCCGCTGAAGGGAAACCTCCCGACGTGACAAACCAGCGCCTCCGAAACTATGTGTCCGAGGTGCGGGAACTCTCCCAGCTCGGCGCCGCCTCTCACCTCCACCACCGTGATCAGCTCCCCGGAGCCCCCCCACGACACGGTGCACTCCTGGACTTTGGCGGACCAGTGTTTCTTCTTCTTGAGGGTCTTGGACATTGTTGGTTGATCTTGTAAACCTCAAAAAAAAATAAAAAATGGAAGTCCAAGAAACGATTGACCGTCAACACTGCTTCTGATCCTAAGACGCAGTGACGCACGGGGAAATCATAGCAGGTTTACAGAAGTTGAGGCAGATTTGTGGTGTTGTATTCCATAATACTTCTCAAAAATATCTTCTATTAGATTTAACTCCTTCAGTTTAGGATCGATCCTTCCATTGATTTACTCGAGCATCACCTGCCTGTGACCGGGATGCGAGATCAGCTGCGTCAGTGTCGCATTGAAGCGGAGAGTGCTGCTTCTGATGCTGGGGCGTCTGGATCTTTCACAGCAGCAAGGACTTAAGAAGCAGCACAAGAAGAAGCAGCAGCAGCGTCCTTCAAACCGTCAAAAAAAAAAAAAAGCCCCGATACAACAGAGCAGGACGGATTCTGTGAGCCTCCACACAGTTTTTACGCACCACAAGAGCGCGGAGAAAATATTCCTCTTAAGACTTCCGAGCAAATCGGATAACACTGCCCAAGAAAAAAAGAGTTCAGACTAACGCAAGAAACTTCAAAAAACTGATTTCCAACTGGGGGGGAGAAAAAAAAAGATTAGCCAGCTGTTTGGTATCCCTCCGCTCTTCATCCAAACCTTTCCGAAGAGGCAACTTTCCTCTGCGCACCTGTCCTCGTCTCGTACCCTCCTCCCTAAGTGTTGACATCAGCAAAGGCAGTCCTTGGAGACGGAAAAACATAGCCTACCTGTCCCTCCTCTGAACCGGGTTGTTATCTGATCCTTTCCACTCCGAGCTGAAGCACGGCGTCTGTTTCTCCGTCACGCCCTCTCCCTTTGCTTCTCCAGAGTGCACGGCGGGGATTTTTTTTTTTATTTCTGCTCAAAACCTACACAGCAGCATGAAACAGACGTGATCCGATTAGGCTTCACTCCAGAACTTTTTTTTTTTTTTTTTTTTTTTTTTTCAAATCTTTTTCCGTGTTGCTTTCCTGATTGAAGAGGTGTGCGGCCAATCAGAGACTGGAGGCTGGTCATAAAAGTCTCTACAATGAGCCAATAGTGGCTCTCAAGAGGCGGGTCTTCTTGTGCTTGGGAAGCGCTGGGTTTTGTTTCCATGGTGTGTTTAATAAGGCGGAGTTCCGGAACACAGTGGGACTCAAAATGTTTTATACAAAGTTCATAACAGTCCACCTACAGTTTGCGTAAAGTTTGTGGTTATTCTGTCTACAGAGATGAGCAACTTCTTTTTTTAATTTATCTTTTTTGTTGTTGTTCTAGCTCCTACAAAAGTACTTGGAGGACTGCACACAGAGCTCAAGGGAAGGCGACTTGCTCCTGGCGATTTCTTGCACAATAGCGCCTCTTGTGGTTGTTACACTCAGAGTTTAGCACCACCTGTTACCAAGCACCATCAGTGCACCCTGTATGAATACATGTATTCATACACATAATACATGTATTATGTGTTAGGTTTTTTAAATGGAATATATGTGCACACGTAATTGAAAGACAGATGTCTACCTTTTGATTTTATTTCCTGTGATTCACTGAGAGCAGAGATTCACACACTTTTCAGCCCATAACCCACAATAAAACAGTGCTAGAGACTGTGGACCCCCATTGTCCCTGACGGTAGTTAAATATTTAACGTTGTATGCACTGGCATTAGAGCGCCACACAATAGCCCAAACATCGTTACACTATTTTTGTAATTTAGTTAAAGAAACGCTAGAAGCCGAAAACATGTGATCTCTTGAGCTACTTTTTTGTTGTATTTATTTTCCCAATAATAGATAAAATAAGAATATTTGTATATGTTTTTGGAAGAAATCTCATGACCCTCCTCTCAGTGTCTTGAGACCCCCCAGGGTGTCTCGACCCCCACTTTGGGAATCACTGACTTAGAGCACAAACATATACAGAAGTTTAATGAATTAGAAACAACAAGACTCCAAACACCTTCCAGATCCAAACCTTTTGCACACGTTTTCATTTAGTATCTTCATTCATTTTACCAAATTTCAGTAGTTTTATTTTCACCACGTGCATTCTTCTCTAAGTCCTAACACATCATTGTGAAACTGTTAATCCTATGATCACCTGCTGGCAGATTTCCAATAAACAACCCAAAAACAAACAGATTCCCTTTAACATAATGGCCATATTATTCCAGTGTTGAGGCAGTGGTGGGTGTGAGTGTGACATCTGTTATGGAGACCATTTCTGGTGATTTGTTAATGATTAACATTCAGTCAACCTTCTTGCGCGGCTCTTCGGTCAGCGCCCTCGCAGGCAGTCAGAGTTGAGGACATTTTCTAAAAACTGCTGATAATAACAGACTTGTTTAACATTTTTTTTTTCTATTTCAGAACATTTTTATGTTTTTCTTTTTTTGCCTGATTTTTCAGTTTTCAGTTTCACCATATTTCGTCTCTACACAGAGTTATATGTCACCGACTTGAGCATCTCATCTGTTGACATGATCTGACATCCCTCCTCATGTGTGAGAAATGTCAGCTGCTCCTCATGGATGTAGCAACAATACCTATCACTCAATGTGCAGTAAGTTGCATACATGACATTTATTGCATTGCAAAATTGAAGTTATTGCTGATCTTCAGTTTTATACTTCATAAACTGCCAGGTCTGACCCTCTGTTGACTCTGTTAATATGTTAGCATGTGACTCCTCTGGTCCTGCAGAGGCGATTACTCTCAGGTTTTTCTTTTTGTCTTCTTTGTTTTTTCTCTCTGTATTCTCATAGCTGTTGTGACTCTTGTGTATTGTTTCTTTTATTCGATGTACAGCACTTTGTTCAGCTGCTGCTGTTTTTAAATGTGCTTTATGAATGAATGTGAATTGACTTGTTCTTTCACTTCTTGTTTAGCTGAGGAGGCGTCAGGTCCTCTTGCTGTAATTATCATCCCCTGTCTGTTGACTCTGAGCACAGTTTTAGTGGTGGTTCTGATTTTCTGCAGTCTGCACAAGAGCAAACAAAGAAGACAAAGCAACTTAGTGAATTTCACAAACGGTATGCATTGCAATAACTGTACGTCAAATAAGAATGACAAAAAAATGTGAAGATGAACATGTGTTATTTATTCATCTCTAGCTCAGAAAACTGCATAATTTCTTGTGTGTTTGTTTCGCAGGCCAGCAGAGTGTGTCCCTGACTGCATCTTCTGTAAGCACTCCAAAAGTCCAGGCAGCTTTGTCGCCCTGGGAAATCCCCGAGGAGTGTGTTCTCGAGGGACTGGAGTTTTGGCAGACAGGCCGCCTCGGCCCCATTTGTAAAGGTCTGCTGAAGAGGAGTGATGGAGCCTCTTGTGCTGTGGTGGTGAAGTCCCTGCGAGGTATACTCCATACATGTTTCACATTAAGACCAGGATGAGGAAGTTTGATGTTAAGGGTTCATAAGTGTTTTCAAGGAGAGAGAGAGAGAGAGGCAAGAGAGACATGAAGAGACTGTAAATACATACATTTCTTAATTTCTCTATTTGTTTTCATTTTAACATAGGCCTACAGTTTTGAAGGGCCACATTCAACAAACAGGCTTACAAGACACTATCACGAATATGCAACAAGGACTATTGTCTCTGAACATTGGGTGCAAGACCGAAGTCTTTTAAGAGATGGACTGAAGTCTTTTGAGAGCCAGAATGATGTCTTTTAAGAGACGGACTGAAGTCTTTTAAGAGATGGACTGAAGTCTTTTAAGAGACGGACTGAAGTCTTTTAAGAGACGGACTGAAGTCTTTTAAGAGCCAGACTGAAGTCTTTTAAGAGCAAGATTGAAGTCTTTTCTGAGCCAGAATGATGTCTTTTAAGAGACGGACTGAAGTCTTTTAAGAGACGGACTGAAGTCTTTTAAGAGACGGACTGAAGTCTTTTAAGAGCCAGACTGAAGTCTTTTAAGAGCCAGACTGAAGTCTTTTAAAAGCCAGAATGAAGTCTTTTAAGAGATGGACTGAAGTCTTTTAAGAGATGGACTCAAGTCTTTTAAGAGCCAGAACAAAGTCTTTTAAGAGCCAGATTGAAGTCTTTTAAGAGATGGACTGAAGTCTTTTAAGAGCCAGACTGAAGTCTTTTAAGAGCCAGACTGAAGTCTTTTAAGAGCCAGACTGAAGTCTTTTAAGAGCCAGAACGAAGTCTTTTAAGAGCCAGAATGAAGTCTTTTGAGAGCCGGACTGAAGTCTTTTAAGAGACGGACTGAAGTCTTTTAAGAGCCAGACTGAAGTCTTTTAAGAGCCAGACTGAAGTCTTTTAAGAGCCAGAACGAAGTCTTTTAAGAGCCAGATTGAAGTCTTTTAAGAGATGGACTGAAGTCTTTTAAGAGACGGACTGAAGTCTTTTGAGAGCCAGATTGAAGTCTTTTAAAAGATGGACTGAAGTCTTTTAAGAGACGACTGAAGTCTTTTAAGAGACGGACTGAAGTCTTTTGAGAGCCAGACTGAAGTCTTTTAAGAGATGGACTGAAGTCTTTTAAGAGACGGACTGAAGTCTTTTAAGAGATGGACTGAAGTCTTTTAAGAGACGACTGAAGCCTTATAGAGACGGACTGAAGTCTTTTAAGAGCCGGACTGAAGTCTTTTAAGAGCCGGACTGAAATCTTTTGAGAGCCGGACTGAAGTCTTTTGAGAGCCGGACTGAAGTCTTTTAAGAGATGGACTGAAGTCTTTTGAGAGACGGACTGAAGTCTTTTAAGAGATGGACTGAAGTCTTTTAAGAGCCAGAACAAAGTCTTTTAAGAGCCAGATTGAAGTCTTTTAAGAGCTGGACTGAAGTTTTTAAGAGCGAGCCAGTCCACCAACTGTACAGGTCTGTTCTAACCCTCTGTTAACACCACACAGATGAATCCAACCAGCCTGAAGGGAAGGAGCTGGAGTGGGTCCTCTTCCACGCCACAGTGTGTAAACATGAAAACGTGGTGCAGTTGCTGTACTGTCAGACCAAATGTCTGCCAGTGTGTCTCGTCTTAGAGGCATACAGCCCAGGAAACCTCCTTCACTTCCTCTGGTCACTCAGAAATGTAATGTTTTTTTTATACATTTTGCTTGAATTCTAACATGTGTTTGATGAGTAAAGGTGCTAAATGTAGTGCATTAACAAGGTATTGTTCTTCCCTCTAGAGGGGTTCAAACAGTGAGGATCCATTTTTGAACTTCTCTGAGAGGTCGGTGTATCTTGTGGCAAAGCAGGTTGCAGCTGGTCTGGTAAGTCATTTTTTTCCTTGAGGAATAATTCCCAAAACACAAACAAATGTAAATGACTTCATTCTTGATGCTATGTTAATCAAGAGATGTCTTTCTGTGTACAACATCTTGTGTGCTTTGGGGGAAAAGGTGTGGCGTCCCTTGAATTTGAATGAGAATTTCAGCCACAGATTGATTTGTTTGGCTGTAATTGGCTCCTCCCTCCCTCAGGATTACCTGATGTCGGAGCACAGGCTGGTGCACGGCGATGTTGCTGCCAGGAACATCTTAATTGGCCCGGGCCTCTCCGCTCGGGTGTCTGGGCTCGGGGTGGCATTTGAAGGACGTAGAATGGATCCAGCAGCATTTAGGCAGAGGGCAGCAGAGGTGCCTCTCAAATGGCAGGCTCCGGAGAGGCTCGCGATGCAGCTCAGCATTGACAGGGGCGACGTGTAAGGGCAGAGTTATGTCTGAGAAAATGAAAAGCCGACAGAACTAGAAAATGTTGTTTTGTCAACAATGTCATCTCTTTTAGCCTTTGCATGACTAATGCATTTTACAAATGTTATTCAAAATGGGTCACATTGTCCTTTCCCCCATAGGTGGTCATTTGGAATCTTACTGTATGAACTGATTACCTTAGGTAAATCTGCATGTTCAATAAAACATGATCAAACATTTTAAAACATAAGTAAATGAACATGTTTCTGCAGTACATGTTACAATTTAGAGTCCTGTGTAACATTCAAAACGTTGTTGTTTCTATCCCAGGTTCTCCTCCATACCCTGAGCTGGATCCTCTGTCTGTGCTTCCAAAACTGCAGGGGTCTTATCGAATGAAGAGACCAGTGAGCTGTGGAGGACCTTTGTGAGTACACTTGTAAGAAAAAGGGACACATAGCAAGGCAGTAGGGCTGTGAGATTAATCCCGAAAGCAAAAAACACATCCCAAGAGTCTGAAATAAAAAAACACTTTTGATAAAGCATTGCAGTGGTTTCTCACGCAGCATAGTAGGCTACATTGCACCTTCTGGATTGAGGCCTGCAGGGCATTAAGTCCATGTGTTCACACCATTCATATGCAGTCAGATGAAGCTAAAGCTAACCAGCTACCCCGAGATTTATTAGGTCAACAGTATCAAAGGGGGAGAAAACTGGTTTTTTTTAGATTTATTTTGGTCAACACAGGTGTTGTATTTCACATGAAGAACAGGAGACAGACAGAAACTGAGTTTTAGCATATATCCACTTTAAAGCCTTTCATAAAGATAACTTATAATTTATTTACCAAAACCTTTGTGTAAATACTTCAAATGTCCCTTCCAACACCTGTTGTTACCTTCATCCTTTTTCCTCTGCTTTTTTAAGTCGGTGTGTAAGCTAACTAGCTTACTAGCTACTTGCTGTAGCTTCAAATCTAACGGCCCAAACATTGAAGAGGGTATGCCTATCTTTAATCTGGCTCATACGCTGAGAAAGTTACAACTGTCAACCTGTTTATTTATTTATTTATTTATTAATGTGTTTTGAATTCTTTTTGTGTGCTTTTAGATATGATCTGATGAAGTACTGTTGGATGTGGTGCTTCAAAGACCGCCCTCCTTTCTCTGCAGTCATAAAGCTGTTGGATTCCTCTCTGCATCTCGCTGCTACCAAAGACATTTGTGTTTTTGAGGTAATAGACATACCCGAGTATAACAGGAAGGCAGGGCTGCCAAATACTACAAAGACAGATTAACTTCTTAAGTGTGTTTATCTCTGATTGCAATGTAGGCTAACACCTGCTGGATACTTTTTGGATGTGTAACATTGGACAAGTTTAGGGTCAAAGGTGGATCATATAATAATCAAAGAGAAAGAGAGTCATTTAATAATCACTTATTTATTGTCAAAAAGGAACAGACTTATTAACACAGATCTTTTTATTCATTGATATCTTCAGACTTTCATCCTTGCAAAGTACAGTGTATGTATCTGTAAAGCTGTTGGCATGCATCCATTACTGTGACTCTGAAAACCAAAACACCCACACAGGAAAGCTTGATGCACTTTTCAATGGACTAAGAACATGTATTTTCAGTGCTGCAGATTTATTTAACAACCGTTTCTAAAAAGTTCAATACATTTGTTTTAACTGTGGTTTGAGTTTTTAATCAGAACTATTAAGGATTATCTAATTTTTTGATCATCTATGAATATCTGCTCTATCATAGTTCTTTAAGGGAGCCTCATACGCTTCTAACACTTTGTGTTATTGCTTATAGAGGCTTCGAATCCGTATTATAAAATATGTACGTTCACACAAGAGACGAGTGATGCCACAAAGGTGTTCTTGATAAAAGTGCTTGTCTACAAAATAAAAGTGAATACTGGCCATAGTGAAGTGCAAACACACTTTTATCCTCTCCTGTCTTGTCCTTTTTTAAGTTTCAACACTACTTCTAATAGTGGCGCATTTCTGAACACAGCCAACATAAACTACAATACAACACGTGTGCTGCAGCTATGTGTAATGTTTAATCACTAGGTGGCAGTAAATGCAAGCTTTGCAGCTCGGGATGTGCTCTTATCAAAGGTCAATTACACAAAAATCAAAGCAAACAAATGAAAATACTGCTGCAGAGTATTGAGGAATTGAAACATCCTGTTGCATCTGAGTCCACCTTAGTCACTGATGTCAACTACTGCAGACAAGTGAGAGGATTACGAGATAGGGTGGTATTCCAGTGTTGTCCTACTATTTGAACTGCAATGCCTCTTAAAACAGGGACAAACTCATAGCATGACTGAATAAAAAATAAAAGATATATGAAACTCTATCACAATTTTTTTTTTTTCTTTTTTTCACATCTTGTTAAAAGGCTATCAGTCTATAAAGCTAAACAAATTAAAAGTCCCTTATTCACAGAAGCCAGAAGTGGCTAAGTTTATGTTCTTATTGAGCTTATTTAGGCTACATTCAAATTGATGATCCAACAATAGCAGTCTTTATTTGATGAATCACGTTTGGATTTTTCCTGCTTTAATTTGCTTTAAAGAAAAGCTCCAGCAAAAAGTGGGGTTTGGAGGGAGCTGGCATCCTGACCTAAATGTTGGGACATGTTAGTTTTACACAAAACTGGTTGTAGAGTTGTGTTAGTGACTATCAAGAAATGACATTGGACTTATGTTGAAGAAGCTGCTTTAAAATCCTGTTTGAAAGTCATCATTTAAAGTGAACGTATGACTCAAACAGAACTTTAAATGACAGTGGTCATTTCCTGTATGATTTTAAAAAAAGAAAAAAATTCGAAACAATGACAAATCCAAGCTGTTATTTCCTATGAAATAATCTTTTTTTGATATTATGCGGTGAGAATTTGATGCCCCCGGATATTGTTTTAAGATTGGATTAATATTTAAGAAAGGAGATTTGATGAAAATTCAGTGTTTAGAACAAGCCATCCAAGCCCTTGATTCAGTGAAAATGCAAAACAGACTTGTATGGAGGACAATCCTAAACAGCAACATTAAAATGCTCCTCTCAATCCTCACTCTTCTGTCTGGGTTTCTGGGAGCAAATGTTCACCAGTGTTTTAGCTTGGATCCTCCAAAGCAGAAGAGAGCAGCTACCGTCTGAAGCCTCCATTTACCCACGATGGGCCCAAGAGTTAACCTTTTCAGGGTGTTTCAGACAAAGCTCACACCCCCTTTCTACACTTTTCTGTTCCAAATGGATGTCGGGAACAAGATGTAAGAGACAGACCACAGCAGGTAGTACACACACGCAGGGGGGAAGGAAGAGCAGAACACCATGATGACACCTGGAAACACAAGAAGAAAAAAAAGAAGAAGTGTGAAAGCCCTGAAAAATAACACCTGTAATCAACAAACCTCTCTGTGACGTTTTCACTATGACTTACTCAAGTGTTTTTGTTTGCATTAAACTGCTCTGTACTAAAATGATGGCCTTTATCTACATTTGTTGAACCTGTCTGTCTGCTTTTATGTTTTTTTTCTCATGCCATCTCTTGGTTTGCTTTTTTTTTTTTTATTCTTGGACGTCTGCTCTTAAAGGTGCTATAAAGATAAACTTTGCTTGCTTATTTACTGAGGCTTTACGGCCACCAACTGAAAATTAACCCAATGCCCCTGTGATAGAGGTAATTGAACAACTGTTTTGATTTAAGTCAATCAATGTGGTTTGACATACAAGTCTTTTTAATATGTTGGAATGTTTCTGTGACAGCCAAAGCAATCTTTATCTTAATCTTAATCTTTCTGTTGAGTAAAGAGTCTAAGAACCAGTCCATAAAGTGGTTAATAAACAAATCAACATTGCACAAAAAGTAAGGAAATTTGTGTTTGGTAGATTATTTCTTTGTTGTAACAATGCTTCTTGGCAATACATCTTATACTGCTGGAAAGCCTGTTTATTTCCATTTTAAATGGTGCCACATTTGTAAGGAACATGCATTTGTAGGATAAGCAGCAGAGCTGAGTATGTGGGTTGCACCCATGAAAAACCTGCCAAATCTTCTCTGCCAATGACACACAGCTTTTGGTGGAGGCAGTGTGGTGGTGTGGGGCGGAATCTCCCTCACTGGAAAAACAAGTCTTGTCATCGTTGGAGGCAATCTCAATGCAAGCGGCTATCGAGATGAGATTCTGCAACCAGTGCCAATCCCATATCTCCACAGTCTGGCACTGACCAAGAAATGTCCTCTTGATGGTTGTGCCAGAGGACAAGTTAGGTGATCGCCAAATCATCAGGACCAACTGAATAGGAACTTTGTCTCAATCCACAGAGTACTCCAAGGGCACTCAATGGATTGGGACGTCCCATAAATGACAACATAAGTGAAGACTCATGGAGAACAGTCAGGCGATGACCAAATGGATGGTGATTCATCTTTTAAGGCACCACAAATACCTATTTTTACAGATTAATCCTCCCAAGGGTTGATGAAAAATGTCAGTCTTCTCCAAATTGGTAGGCTGATCAACAAACATTACACTCTTGATAGAAATCTTGCTATCATGGCTGTCTGTTTGGAAACAGTTTACGGAGACTTCAGTTGATTTCTCTGAGAAACTAAGACCCTTCACATTCAGACAGCTGGCCTGACCTGGATCAGGTTGGATGTCGAAGACCAAAGGCAATTGCAAATTAGTTTGGCAATGCCAGACTCAAATTACATTAAAATGTATTGCATTCCATCAACAACAGTAACACCCTCAATTTCCATTTCATTGGCAAATGAGTCAAAGCCTTGACTTGTAAAACGGAAACTATCTTTACAGTTAAAAACCCTTACCCTCCCAAAGATGCTTAATGTTGTATCTGAAAACTCATTTAGAAAAAAAAACCTCTTTGGCAAGACTTTCTACTGAATCATCAGCTCTCTTCTTAAGTTATTATTCTCGACAGCTACGCTATTCCTTGTCAGGAAAGATGTGTATGAAAACAGGATGTTCAAATAGCTTTACCTCCAGCGTAGACTACTTTCTTCCAGGCCTGGGACTCCAGCACTCTGTCATGGGGATAAAAGTTCTGACTGATCATAAAGGGAATCATGGCCACTGCGATGACCCGCAGTAAGACCAGGTTTCCCCCTGACAGCAGAGAGGCACTGGACAAGATGGCTGAGGAGTAGATGCAGGGCAGGCCGCGGTACATGAATGGTATTCCTAAGGACCGATCAAGAAATACTTTTATGTGAATTAAACGTCAAACAACATAATCAAACATCAAATAACACTTCACTTTGGAACTTACCACTTGAGAAGAAACAGAGGCGGACAAACACGGACAGGACATAGCACACGCACAGGATGTTGTCGAGCAGGTCGGATGTCCTCAGGAGCAATGACGTGGCAATTCCGAAGGTCGTAAAGTCAGCAAAATCATCAAGCTTTGCACCTGAACATGAACAAGCAAAATGTGAATCATCACAGAGCTCATAGTGCCTATTAACCCACTATAACATTGTGTTGGCAGAATAGAGGCCTGCCAGTGGTCCTTAAAGTCTGCAAACTTAAGTTTTTCCTTGCCACATTTGCCAAGTGTTTACTCATTGGTGGACTGAGTAAAGTCTCTGTTTGAATAATGAGAGTACAGTCTACATTTACCCTTACACCTTTAAGCTGTTGTGAAATCATTTTAGTTGTGATTTGGTTCTGTGCAGATGACTCTACCAGTTCTTGAATGTGCAAACTGTCCTATTATTAGTATCATTTCAATCCCCCAGTGCCTTTGTTGTGAGTTTACATTCCATCAAAGCCAGAGTAGATACGTTATCATCTCCAGCACTGTCACTGCCGGTGTTACTGGCATGTGACCGTGGGTATTGTGCAAGCGCAAAAAATCTCCAAGTGGAAATTTCAGTGTCAGCCCATTCTATAAACAACATTCTCCACTGCCATGTCCCTTTATCCGCCAGGAACACGGAGCATGTTTTCATGAGAACGATGGGATCCAGGCCACTGCTAAAATGAACGAGGTGGAATTCCACAGCCCAGGGTCAACAATTTTAGCTATTTCAGATATGCAGAGAACCTAAAGCGATGGGATAAAATAGACAATTGGAGCATGATCCTGTGGAATTAGGCTGCTTAATCAGAAAGTGATTGTTCAGTTGACAAAAATACATTGGGGGGCACAACAACATCCACCTGCAAAGTCATGCAGAAAAAAACACGCCGGGACACAAAAGCCCTCTGAAATGTGCAGCCAGTGATGTATTGTGATGCACCTGTGAGCTATTTTAGGCTACGCGGGAAGAGGGAACTTTCCTGCTAGAAAACACTTTTAAACAGTGCTTTGTGCCTATTTATTTACCTCAAACTACATGATTGTGATACAAAAATAAGCCAAGTAAGTGACTTTTAAGGCCTCCAGGAATTCAGCTTGAAATCTTAAAAATGCATATATCAATGTTGAGTCTCAAAAATTCTTGTGAAATAAACATTTATAACTCTTGAAAATCGAGTTAAAAAAAAAAGGTTTGATTCGTGTAAGTCAGTATCAGGGAGGGAAGCAGAAGGACATCTAAAACTATTATTTTTTCCCATTGGTTCATGAATGGTGAGTAAAATATTGCTTTGCTATCCCTATCATAGTTAGCGGTAAGCATATTCACACAACGTTAGCTGAGATGACCTCATTTGTCCTGTAAAGCTTTAAATGTGCTGAAGGTCAGGTTAGCTAGCATCAGTGGAACAGTAGCTCAACAACAGCTCTCACTCATCTTCAAGGGCAGCTGGAAGTAGACAGCTGCTAGTAACACTTGTGGCTGTAATTACGGCAAACTACCGTGCAAAACTGCACGGTAGTGTCCGCTGGCTCCAAGAAACACGGAAGTCATGCAGACGCCCCATTTTTACAGCAGAAATTACCATGTTTACAGCCTGGTAGAAAAAACGATTTTGGTCTGATTAGGTATTGTCTTTTTAGGCACACAGTACAGGGGATGAATCTGATGAAGATATGAGTTATGCATAGTTCGACACATGGCTGACCTGATAAGACAGACGGGCGCCATGTAATGACTTGTCAAAAGGTTTAAAAACCTGCCTCAGCTCCAGCTGTTAGCCTGTCGTTAGGTTGACTGAAAGAGGAGGCCGAATTTCCAGCATGGCGACCGCCATGCTCGGGCTTCCAAAGCCTACTGCAGTAACAGATTACAGATTGCAGTAACCATTAATATTTACAATCTATGGTAATTACTTGTGGCTGTTAATATTCACTAGTGGACTTTTGTAAATGTTGTAAACAGCCTATAGTTGCCGTCTGAATACTCTTGTGATTTGTTTGCAGAGTTAGTTCCACGGTTTTCATAATATTATCTGGGTCCATCCCCAGTTCAAACCCAATATCAGAAAGTTAATGACAATATTTGGAATTCTGATCAAAACAACATTGTCATACATTTCTATGCAGACTATGATTAACATAACATCCTAGCTGCTGGAGGGCTATTGTGGATCTGGCTTTTGCTTGGTTTTAAGAGGACACAACAAAGCTGTGGCTGATTTGATTAATCTCAGATAGCATAACATAAAACATGTATTATCATTCTTTGGGGACTTTGTAAGACTGTCCAGCATCTTTCAGCTGCAGAGTTTCCTTTCATTGGTTCCATTTGTTTCTGACTTTGTGTTGCCAAATGAGCAAGTCCAGACAAAGGCCTATGCAGCGAGCCCTGCCAACAACCCTGTTAATGTTTATCTCTGGTAAGAGCTATTGACCAAAACAGTCCACTTACCCAGTGCAGAGCAGGCACCAAGTCGCCTGGCAACTGCTCCATCGGCCAAGTCCAGCAGGTAGCCAATCAGGACAAGCCAACATGCAGCATGGTGGTGCCTGTTCAAAAACAGCAGCGTTTGGTTTAGCTGTTTGAAGACAGCAACCCATTAAGAAGGGTGTGGTAGATGATATTTTCCACCAATTGAAAAGGGATAAAACTAGAAAGTTTGAGGCTTGTCGCAACTAATTATTTGTCCAAATAATCCTCAAGTGTGTGTTGTCAACGCCTTTATATTACTGCTCCCTATCAAGTTGGAGCTTCTCCTATCTTCGCATCGAGCTGCTTCTGACAGAATACCCAGAATAGCCCATGAGAGTGAGCAGACTAGGAAGTGTCACTGACTGAATTTTATGCACTTTTACAGCTGACAAGCATGGCAACACAACTGTGCTGCCATATTAGGTTAACCCTAACCCTAACCCACATTCAATTGATTGCCACCAAGCTGTAGATAAGGCACACTAATGTTTCAGATTGTAAAATCCGATAATGGTGTGTTCACTCACCCGTTGAGACTGCTGAGAATTGAGGCCATGCCCATGACCATGTTGGCGATTGACAAAGCATTGGCTGCATTTTTACGTGCAAACTCCTTGATCTGGAGTCCTGTGGATTGATCACTCAGAAAAAGCTTGCCTGTGCAGTGGAAGAGACCTGAGACCAAACAACAGCAGGAGTACATATGTTGGTTAGGTAAGCATCCCACGCTGTGGTTTAAGAAGCTAAAGGCTAAAAACCTACAATGTTTTGGTGACTTTACCTGTTGGCCGTTTGATACATTTTTGTGAATAGGAATAGTTTACTGATTTTAATCCCAGTTTGGATCAAACCACATTTTGCGTGAGAGAAAAATATGCAATTGGTCTTAATTCTTATCAGTCATGACTGAATAATATTTTACTGCAATGTAGATGGAATCCATACAGTAGAATAATGTAGCATATCATAATGTTTGTTTCTACTGTTTTATCCTATTTAATGAAAAAAACAAAACATTTCTAATTGGTTCCCCCGTCTTATGTAAAGAAGAATCACTTACCAAGACGTATGGGACCAAGGCCGAGCTTATGATACATTCATCCAGTTTCAGATCACTAAAATGCATTTTTGATACTGTACATTCATAATTCAAACAAAGGTTTGCAGCGTTCAGCATGCAAAAAAAAAATATAGATTACTTTACTTTGTAGCATTAATTTATGTCTGTCTACACAACAAACACATTATACATATTTTAACTGTTGTGAAAAAATGGCCACAATAGCATGCATTACAATTATATTTATATAATGATCAAATATTTGCCAAAAGAAACATGTCAAAAATAGATACAGTGTAAAAGGATACATTGTGAACTGTTAGCGGTGTGATCTCGCCAGGGGGGGAAATAAACACTGATGTGGGGGGGGAGGGGGCAGCTATGAACATAGGGGACTAACACCACTGGCTAAAGTGAGAGTGAGTTGGACCTAGTGCATTGACACATACCAGACGTGAGATCAATTAGCCTGTTAGCATAGCACATCTATAAATACCACTGTAGCCCCGACTTTAATGGAGATTTTGCCGTTTAATTCATCTGTCTCTTTTTTTCTTTTTTTTACAATACACATTTTATATACAAACACCAAAAACATAGGCGGTTAATGCCAATAGGGATGGCTTTGCTGAGCCATATGTTTGCTCGAATTGCAATTAGTCATTTGATATGTTTGGTGTCTGTCCTGACCAAGCTGTGATGTTTTTTTAACGAAGCCAAACAAAGGCGTATTTGTTTGTTTTGTTCTGTCTGCCTCCTCTCCTCGGAGTTCATTACTTTCTCTCAAGTCATAGTACTGTCCAAGACAGAATGCACAGAAAAGAGACCTGCAAAATTTAAATGTTTGTTTTTAAATGTTGCAGTATAGCAACCCTTAAAGTGTTTTTTCACCCTGAACTTCCTGTGATTCCAAAGCCAGGCGAGTTCAAGAGACTCTTCATCTGAAAGAAAACAGCGCATCAGACACAGCAACAAGCCAACAATCACATGTTTACTTAACAGCATGCCTTTTTACTCACTACCTGGCATTCAAATTATATCTCATACATGTTCATGGGAAAACACATCAATTACTGGAGATAACTGTAGGCCCCTTTTCAATGGCGATTTTAGAATCTGTTGGGGCCCAAGGCGAAAATTTACAGGGGGGCCCCTCCAACCAGCATTCATCACTATTATGTTGTAAAAAAGAATCATTTTCCAAATTTCACATTAGTATTATTTTCAAAATGTAATTATCAAAACAATAAAAAAAACACAAATAACTTCAAATATTTACCTTTAAAAATGTTGCTCTATGAAAAAGAGCAGTCAGTCAGTCATTTACTTTTATACTTGTCAGTATCCGCTCCACTTACCCCTGTCTTGCTTTCTTTTTTCTCACCCAGGTGGATACTTCCTCTTTGTGACTTTCATTGACAAACTTAGGTTTTCACAGGAATAATGCTTAGCTGCGCAATGAGAGTGAGTGCTGTCAGATAGGGCCCCCTTAGAGAGGTTTCCGAATATCATTGCCATTTGGAGCCACTGCTGTGGTTTCAAGTTTGTCAGCCCTTGGGGGCCACCTACTGGCCTGGGGCCCAAAGTACTAGTGCCTGCCTTGCCTGTTGATAAGCAGCACCTCTGCCTCTGTCATAGATTCTCATGGCTGCGTTTTCAAAGTTAATGATCTGATGCTTTTGTTATTTTTATTGTTACTGTTAATGAATAACTGAGAGACACAAGTCTGCGGGGTTGCAGATTGATTCTTTAACCTCTTCATTGTCGGGCCAATGTTAAAAAAAAAAGAGGTCCAGAAACACTGTCAATTTCAAGAAGGTCACTAATTCTGGATTGCTCGCTACGATAAGTACAAAGCATGATGGGAAGATACTTGTCATGTAAAACCCTGCAATGCTGGGTTCTATGTACGGTGACCATTAAAAAGACTTAATGAAAAAGAAGGGAAACAGTTTATGATGGGGGTTATCTGAAGTGAACTAATTGGAAAATGTAAAAAAAAAAAAAAAAAAAAAAAAAAAAAAAAACATATATCAGATGTGACAATTTATTCTGATTCTAAGATAAAGGAAACATTTTTTTTTTTTTTTTTAACAGATTAAGGTTGTTGTCCTTCCTAATTCGATCCCAGCAGACCTGGGCTTTAATCTCTGCCACCCATGCCCATTTCGAGGTACATTAATCCAGATTTTAAAACAAGATTGAGGAACAAGAACCTACCGGAGGATGAACTGAGGAGGATCATGATTTTCTCTGGCCCACAAACAAAAGCTGTAATATAAACAATAAGAGATCAATAATACAAAAGCTCACGGTAATGACATTGCATTGCATGTACAGAACAATTAAAGCATGCAAGACACATTTTAAAAATCTGACAGTTAACAAATCAAGCCTTGCCTTAATTTTTCTGGATTTCTTCCTGTTTAATTAGCAGTCTAATTAACACGTGTATGAATCATGTGCCATAGCAACCCCTCCTGGTTCCTTCTTTGTCTCTGACACTATTGTCAGCCTTCACTACATGTGAAATTCCAAACAGGCCCTACATGGCTTTAGCAAACTGTAGCAAGACGTATACAGCCATGGAAGTTTATTTATCCCCCCCCCAAACAGTATATATATATTTCTTTGTTATAATTGGTGACAATGCCTCGTTAACCACTTGTTGTGTTACACTTTGCAGCTGCTCAGCGTGACGCTTAAATGCGCCACACTCTCTCCTCAGCACGCACTGCCTTCTCCCTACAAATAACTGTAGGGCTGAATATCCCTCTGTGCAAAACCACCAACACAGGAAGGAAAATAAGAATACATTAAGCTTTAAAACACCCAAGATTTCTATATAAAAGGCTAGGGGAAAAAAAAAAAAAAAAACCATGCAACTGCGTCACAACCAAATGAGCAAATAAGCGCAAAACATGCATCTCTTTTATTCTAAAACACGCAGGACAATTCTTTCTTATTTGTAGATATATGCACCTAACACACAAAATGCATCTCATCTTACCTGATGGGACCTCCAAAGACTACAAAATCCAGAAAATTCCAGTGAATGAGACTGCTATAAACAAGCACGTAGCCTACAAACAATAGATATTTCTGTTTCCTTTTCTTGTTTTCACTCAGAACAAATTTAGCTTTGTTGTCTTGTCTTGCTCACGTATTAAAGAGTTGCTACGCAGTAAACTGAACACAACAGCATTTACCTGTCAACTTCACAGCCGCTATTCAGCGCGTCCTTTATAAAGACCAAGGATGAATCCGAATAATGAGAGCGACCCATCCGGGTACTTTTCCCAAAAGATGCCGGCCCCGCCCCCCGCATGATGACAACGGTACGGCGGTAAACGAAAAAAGACAGAATATAAAGAAACTGTGGCCGTATCCGAATTGCCAAGTACATTCTGAATCTTTCAGTATGCAGTAGGCAGTATGCAGTACATACTATCCGTGCTGCATACTGTTAGTATCTACTATTCAGTATGCACACACAGTAGGCAGATATTAGTTCCTACTTCTTCTGATTTATTCAGTATGGAAGTGACGTCATTTACCTTTCCCGAACCGGCCGCACCCACCCGTTTTTTTTTTTAGCTTTATTCAAGAAGAGTAATGCACATATACAGTCAGGTAAACAAAAAACAATATCACAATGTAAATGAAGTAAAAGATTAAATAACTAAATAACATACAGTACATAAAGAAAAGTACAAATGAAGGACAGTAATATACAGAATATAAAATAAACCAATAAAGACGCATTTAAACAGTGAAATCATTATTTAAATAGAGGGGGAAAGGTTTTATAATAATGCAGATATTTGTTATATTGTCTGTTGTTAATTTAAAGTAGCGATTTCAGCCGGGACTTTAACTCTAGATTAAAAATTGATTAAATTAATCCACGCTCGTTTGTTTTGATTTGGAGGCGGACGTGACGATTTACGTTTAATTTCGCACAGCATTGTGGGTGGTAAAACACAATTCATTTCCTGAAAGCACACATCAGATCCATACTGCATAAACCCGGAAGTTAGTATGCATACTGAAATGTTCTGTATACTGAGGTGGACCCAAAAACTGCACACTGAATGACCACTAAAGTTCAGTATACTGAATAGTACGTACTGCATACTGAACTGTGGCTATTCAGAAAGGGCCTAGGTTGTTCAAAGTGTAGCATGAGCCCAAATCCAATAACCAGTGAGGTAAACAATGTGTGTAAACTTGAGAGTGTCTTTTGGGATCAGTTGGTATCATAAACTGACACTTAGACTACGTATTTCTCAGTAATCGTCTTTAATGACAAATTTAAAACATATGATTCAAGAGGCAATTTGATTCATTTGCCTATAAAACCGGGTTATCAGAAAAAAAAAAAAATGAACAAAGTATATTTAAAAAGTGTTTACGATATCCTGCGCTACCAAAAGCAAACGAACTTCAATTCAAAATAGGGTAGGCCTTTTTAATGACACCAAGGCTATCCTTCTAAGGTTTTAACTTTGGTCGAAACCTCTGTTAAATACATTACTAATTTTCAGGAAATTGTTTTTTAGAAATGTAAGTGTGTTTAAGACACAACTCCTGACGGTTTTTATGAGAGAATCAACACTTGCAGCCAAAAAAAACAGCTTCATAATGTTGAAGAAATAGAATTATTAAAATAATCCCCTTAGCCCTCATGCCTTTATTCATTAATTTATACTTTCTTTTTTCTTGTGTTATTTTGTGCTTTCCTTCAAAGAGCCTGATTCAACTGGTGTCTGGAATGCCATATAGCCTATTGTAGGCTACATTTTGTATTTGTAATAAAGGGGAAAGAATAAGGTGAATACAACACAGACATGAAAGTATCAAGTAAATCATCTGCATGAAGTGTAACAAGACATTCTGATGTACCAGCTCAAATACCTTTGGATGATTTATTGTCCCAATTGCCAAAGGCTCCAATGCTAGCCTGCTGTATACTAAACAATAAAGGGAGACAGACAATCTCTCCGTCTCACACCCAGGTGCTGACTAATTGGCTCTGATAAGGTATTATTGGTTCAAACAAGAGGATAAGGGAGAACAATACATAATTTCAATCCAGTCTAAGGCCCTTTGAGAGAGTCAAAAGCTTTCTGCATCCAATGTTTTGACAGCTTTAGTAAGTCAAAAAGTTCCAACACCTGACGCACATTAAAAAAAGAAACCCTGTCTGGGCTAAAGCCCACTTGGTTTTGGTGGATAATCCTTGCTGTAATTTTGTTTAATCTAGTGTTTTATTCAGATTTGTAATCTTTATTCAGGAGAGCGATGGGCCAGTAATTAGCAGGAACCAATGGAACCTTTCCGCTGTTCAATAACTAACATCTGTTTGCCTCGTATAAAGACTGTGAAAGTGTTTTTTTGTTGTTTCAATTGAATCATTTATCATATCTTAAATAGGTATGCTGTTAAAATCTCCAGAAATGCTTGGTAGAGATCCTAACTCATCTGGTCCAGGGTTATTTACACTGTAAAAAAACAACAACTAGTTGTTATAACTTAAAAAGGTTAGTGTCCAGGCTGCATTAAAATTTTAAGTTGACTGAACTTAAAGCAAACACACAGTCTTGATTTAGTTCAGTCATTTTTATTGAGTTTCTGGAATGGAAAAATGTAATTGCTTCTCTCTTATCCATACTTACCTCTGTTTGTTCAGTTTCTCATGTGGTTCCATGCAGCTAAAAAAGGGATAGCCCAGCACTTCCCAGGTATTTATCAGATTGATGATGTCATCGCTGACATCACTGGGGCAGACCATCTGAAGGGGTTTTATTTCTGAGAAATGTTTTCTTTCTAATCATTTATTTCATGTTTAAGTTACTGGTAGAATGTAATGCATTTTAAAGTGCATGATCTGAGGTTGATTTAAGGGTTTATTTAGATTTATTTGCTTTAAGAGAGAGAGAGAGAGAGAGAGAGAGAGAGAGAGAACACAGAGAACACAGAGAACAGAGAGAACACAGAGAACACAGAGAACACAGAGGCAATTAAACAGTGCAATGGGGGCAAGGGGAAGGAGTGTCCGAATCCTCTCAGAGAGACGGTGAGTGCACCGGCAGACATGTGAACGAGCAGGCAGACAGGCAGGAGCACTTAACTTCATAGACTTGAAGTAAAACTAACTCAGAATTTTATGTTATCATGACTTTTTGCTTTTATAGTGTACCTGTAGGCCCCCCATCAACCCTTCATTCAACCTTTATTTATACTTGAAACATCATTGATGGGAAACCCACATTAACAATGACATCGAGTCACAACAGAAATAATTAGAAAACAGACATTCAATCAAAAAGAAAAACAACAGACAGATAATACAATACTAGTAAAATCAGTCTACAAAAGTCTATAATGTACTAAGATAATTAAGCAAGTACAAAACTGCAATAAATAAACACAAAAGACTAACCTCTTAATGTGGCCCTCAGGTATATTTTTGAATATAAATTAATTGGAAAAATTAAGAAAACATGATTAAATCTGGCAAGAAATCATGAAAATCTGAAATATTTCCAGAATAATATTTGATCACTGGTATATGCTAAGTTAAATTTGAGACATAATTGACTGTAATCATTTTTGTATACTACAATTTGGCCCTCTGGCAGTGAGAATTAAATGAACATGGCCCTTGCTGTGACCAAAGTTGCCCATCCCTGCTAAGGAATGCCTTAATTGCCTCTAACTCAGCAATTACTGAGTTAGAGGCAAAACTTAACTCAGCAACAGAGAAGACTCGTTCCAAAGGTTTCTTAGCTGCTGTGGCAGAGTAAAAAATAAATCTGAGAACTGAGATTAACTGCCTCTGTTGTTATGTAAGCAGAGAAATAGAGAAAATCATTGTTAACATCTTGTTGGTCTGTGAGTACGCCTTTCACCAGTTTTTGACTGTATTTTGAACAGCTGAAATATACACGAGAAGCAAACTATTGAAGAGACAATCCACCATTTTTACACACAACTTAGTCAGCTGCTTAGCTTGTGAAAATTAACACTTTTTACAAAATCAGTGAAGTATAAGCATACTTTAAAGGAAAAGCAGAACACTTGGAAATACCACACTCATTTCTGGATGTAAAACTGAATCCGAAGCATCGGCCGCACGTTAGCTTAGCTCATGTTAACTTGCTTGAAATTGCTGAGATGAGCCCACAGTGTAGTTTGTCTCATAGCCTTATTTTAGCTTTTTATTTGTATGATAGAAAGCAAAAAACATCGCGGTGTGGTTTTCATTTACAAAGTAGTAGTCTATCAAAGCTAGGCCAACTTTTCTCAATTTGTATCAGTCTTGAAGCTAATTAACTAGCTTCTGTCTGTGGCTTCACATTTAACATTTATACCCGTCCTGGCATCAATCTCATCTGCGTCAGAAGATTTAATTTCTACAAGGTGAACTATTCCTTTAACACAGTGGGGGCCTCTTTTGATTGTTGTTCATGTAGTTTGATTAAAGTCTTGGATCAAAAGAATGGTTATAGTTTGTTTCGTCGTGTTTCTGACCCATATTAACACCAACAACATCACCACCACGCTTGGACTGCTTTCATGTCTTTATTCCACCCCTTTCCGGTAACATACAGCATACACTTTGTCTTAATGTCATTACTTTTATCACCACATGTGATGTACACTACACTCAGAATGACTATCCTTTCTTAGTATGCTCTGATGCTCTGTTATTATTACATGATTGTCTGGCAATATCAATCATCTCAGAATTGCTGTATCCTGATAGAATCATTATCGTGGGCCGTGTGTATCGTCGAGTTACCCTACAATTCCCAACCTTCACTGTATGGTGATGGTACTAATGGACCAATGGGACAGGTTGGTATTGATGTAAACTCTGTCATGTAAGTTTTATCTTTACATTTTCATGGATGTTTTAATGTTCCCTTTTCATGGTTAGGGGTTTAAGACTTGCCTTTGCAATGATCAATTTTGGAAGAATGACTTGAATTGGTTCAGAAACGTTCCATCATAAGGAAACGACGCAGGAGATAGTCGAGTTGGACACAGCAGTAGAGAATCAAAAGAAGAAACGTCACAATATTACAAATAGCACATGAATTTTGTTTTTAATTAAGAAACACGGGGGGCAAGGGGAGCATCTTTTACACAGTGGAAATGGATGTCAGGTCGCCCTGACATGGACAATATTTCATGTGGTACAATTTTGTTCAGTAATCTGCTTTTTCCCCCCATGCCGGTCAGAAGTGAAACAGTTCTTAAAATAAAAGTTCCCATCATCAGTAAAAGTGCACTTTTTCATATTTTGCAATGGTAAAACATCCTTTCAAAAGCAGTGGCAGTTTCTTGACATTGGGGAAAGAGTGTTCAGTGTATATTTAATCAGTTCTTTCTGTATATCTGGTGTCTTGGAAACCCATGAGGGTTGGGAACTGATGTGACACGAAAATAAAATACAATCAATCACTCACGAGCAGATACACACAAAAGGCACCCAACAGGGGGCGCACACACACACTGCTTCAGTGTCCTACACGGGCAACAAGCAGTCGCTGATCATATCTGCACAAACATGATGAAACCTTTCTGTGTACATTCATATCTATTTGTCACATTTGTAGCCTAAGACTTTCTTTATTGAGTGAATAATAAGACCAGTTTCAAACCATTTTTAACAGGCAGTTCCAGTCAGCTACATGTGAACCTTTTATGGATCTTTATTTTGGATATTTGAAGACCTGTAACTCAAACATGAGGGGAAAAACAAGGGGGGGGGGGTGTGGGAGGCAATACACATTAACCAGAGGAAAGGAAAAAAGCAAGCGTGTGTGGTTGCTCTAAAAACAGCTGATTTAAGCTGTGAAACGAAAGTGATGGAAAAGAAAAAACAAATAAAAATGAAGCCACTCTAAGGATATTAATACAAATATTTAAGCTTAGAAAAATAAGAAAGGAAAGGTTTGTGAACCCCAAAGTGATCGTGCCTTTACAGTTTTGGTAGTGTGGTGGACTAAAGGTTGGCGAGCATGCTTTTCATAGAGCTACACGACTGGTCACGGCACCTGCAGGAGGTCTTCCACTGCATGTTGAAACAACCGAACACTGTCCCAAATATTGCTGAACACCGCAGAGACGACGAACACACAGAACCACCGAGCCTCCAGAGTTTCATAGCTTATTGTATTGTTGCTAAAGCTAGAAAACCTGAAAATTAAGTAACATTTGGAGGCAGTTCTGTGTTGAACCCTCCTGAGGATATCGCTGATGAGACAAACACAACAAACGACGCACACACACCTGGCTCCATCCTGGGCCTTAAAATAGAGCGTGACAAATAAAAAAGGGGCTAAGACATGCAGTCAATAACCAACAAATCTAGTAGCATACAAACTTCATTCTCATTTGAAAGATGTACAGTATCTACCTGACTGGCAGATAGTTCAAACACATACAAACAATATCTTCAACAACCACACACATGAAAAAACACACCCTTTCTGCTCTTTAAAACGGCTCTTTTTGAGATCTACTCAGTCACAATAAGGCTGTTGAGGCGACAAAAATCATGCCATATTCATATAAAACCAACCTCAAACACCATGCATCCCAGAAAACGTACACAACTGGATACTAATTTTAAGATTTTCTAATTTTAAATCTAAGTAACCTAATTACTAAAAGAAACAATTCTACATGTAACAGAGAGCATGTGCTGTTTCTTCATGTCTGACGTTAGCACCAAAGTTTCTTTCTTTTTTGTAATTAAAAAAAAAAACGAACACAGAAGACACATAAGCGCTGTGAATTACTTGCTGAATAATAACTAAAAAAAACATCCGCGTTAAAGCTCAGCACGTGACGCTTATTAACTTTGTATTTGACGACCTGAGTTGTGAGTCAAAGCTGCATGTGACCGTGACCGTGTGTGCTCCTCTCCCAAAAAAAATTAGCTTAGCATGCTCGTGCAAAAAAAAAAAAAAAAAAAAAGTTCCTCTACAGAAGTGAAGAAAGAAGGCCGAAACATCTTCAAGTATTAATACAGTTAGGCCTGTTAAAAAGCCCCGGACACACAGTATTAGAACCCAGAATAAACTCCAGGAAAAGTAGAAGAGCAGTTATGGTTAGTTTGCATGTTTTCCCCCACAAATATAATATATATATATATTCATATGTATATAAATAAAAATTCAGTGCTGTAAAAACATCTCCAACTCCATAGGATCTGACCCATCGTAGAAGGCCTAATATGTTGAACTCTTACTCTTCTCATGGCTAAAACTACTCGCTGGAAGTATGTAAACTGTACGGGTTCTCCTGTGTTAATAGTCCTTCATCGACAAACACTGAGGAAGAGAAGACTTGTTAATATGGTTTTCAATTTTTCTCTTTTTTGGTTTTACTGCACACAGAGAAACATATCCTGTTGTGTCATCTTGTTTTTTTGTGTGTTTTTTTTTTTTTGGTAGCAGCAAAGCACCAAGTTTGTGTCAACCTCTTTGTTTGTGTGTGAGTCTCTCTGTGTGTATGACATCACTCCAAAGTCTCTGTTTGTGTTTGTGTGTGTTTAGTTTGTGTGTGTGTGTTTTTTATGCAGAGATCTATGAAAAGCATGGCTGCACGTTGATGCCTAAGGCTGCGTGGGCTTGCAGGTCGATGGCCTGGGCGGGCTGCTGTCCCGGCCGGGCGTTCAGCAGTGTCAGGTTCCTAACGCAGCCCGTCATTCCCGACGAAAACTTCCCTCCTGTCATAGCCACCATGTCCGGGGCTCCACCTGTCACATGAGAAAATACAGCAGTGATAAACTTTTGGATTCACATACTTTTTTGTCACTTCAGGGACTCCATACTTTCAGTCCACTCACCAAGGTATATACTGCCTTTAGTGTTCACCATGAGGCTCCTGCCTTTAGACTGTCCATGCAGTTCAGCTTCTCCATCAACCTTGATGTATCCATCTTTCCCAGTTCTGCAAGAAGAGACAAACAGGAGGAGACACGCTTGTTATCAGGCAGTGAAGATGCATTCCTGCATAACGACATTATGAAAATCATTATGGTGCATCTGAAATCTTATCTGAAGTTAATGAACCAGAACATTGTAATCATTGTGAATTAAGTCCCTGATGTGTGCGGTCGTGTAGTAGTACTCGAAATCCGTCTCGAGACCACTTTTTGAAGGTCTTAGTCTCGGAATCAAAAGCCTTTTTACTCCGTCTTGTCTCGATCTCAGACTGGACGGACTCGGAATTTTAAAATCAAGACCACGACTGAAAGGCTATTTTTCTAAGTTTTTTAAAAGATTTATTTTTGGGCTTTTTGGGCCTTTTAATGGAGAGACAGGACATCGGCTAGAGCTGGAAATCAGGGAGAGAGAGAGAGTGGAGAATGACATGCGGGAAAGGAGCCACAGGCCCGGATTTGAACCTGGGCCACCCGACTACAGTCTCCGCACTAACCACTGTGCCACCAGCGCCCCGAGTACTTTGATTTTTATCCCCCGGTTACGGCCGCAACCTTCTCAGTGTTATGATAAAGTGAGGGACACGCCCCCTGCACAGAAGATGATGAATTTTTTAGTGATAATTGTGTTCTCTGTCTTGTCTTGGTCTCGCCCTGCCTTGGTCTTGGTCTTGTATTTGCCTCTTACCACTCTGGTCTCGGGTATGTCTTGGTCTCGGGTATGTCTTGGTCTCGGTTAGTGTGGTCTTGACCAGTGTGAGGGTTATAATGTAATCATACCTGACTGCTGTGATCTTATGCCACCTCCCATCATTTATGGACTTCCTGGACAAGATTTCTGCCTCTCCGCTGCCCAACTGGTAGCTGGTTTTCACACAAATCATGAGCACAACAACAAAATTAAAATGAGCTTACATTTAAATGGAATTGTAGTTTTAACAAAACTTCAGGATCAGATGGCTGGGTCACCTGAAAACAAGTTGTCCATTCTGTAGGCCGAGGCTAATGAAGTCCTTTCCTTTACCGTTCTCTCCGTGATCCTAGGAATAAATGTTAATAGTCAGCAGAGGTAGAGGAGGATCTTTGACAGAATTTAACATAACATGTAGAAATCTTCCAACATTATTGTTATAGGTGTGACATCAAACCTGACAAAAGAAGCCATCATGCAATAAATAAAACACAGAGAGCTTTCACTTGGGACTCAAATGGTTCTCCAAGAGTTTCTTCTAACATTTCAACCATATATCTTTTTGGGCCATATAAATATGTAAAGTGGAACAGATATGTAATGAAACATGCCAAATGAATAAGGAGTGTCTCGTGCTTGAGTGGATACCTTTTTACTAGCATGCACCTTTCGCAAATTGCGTGCGCCATTGGTCTCCTGAGGAAGATGGAGGGTGTGTTAGAGAAGCAACATGCATTTATTAAGTGACGTCAGGTGGAGCCCGGCTCGCAGACAACATGCCCAACAGTGTTACAGACTCAGTGGCACAAGCATGACTGAGACATCGTGATGATGGATGCTGCTCATCAGCCAGTGAATCACTGAGATGGATGACAATGCAATACTCTGAAAGTGATTTATTAAAGGTTATATGTTAATTAAAAAAAACTTAGGAAAACATGAATGACTTTAATGTCTTAACAGGTGAGATGATGGTGATTATTAGGAGTGCTGAAGTGCAATAGCAAAGTTAGGGTGAGAATAAAAAGATGCATGGGGGAGGTTTGAGTACCAGGTTTAAGATTTGGATTAAACCATTAAGGCCCAGTTCTGTAGATAAGTCAGGAGCTGGACTTACCACTCCCTGCCAAAAAATCAGGCCCTCAGAGGAGCCAGTGTTGATCTCCAGTTCAATGGTCTCTGGTGAGTCATGGGCACTAAAATAGAAAAAATAATTGTATCCATGAGTCATGTTTTCAATTCCCCCAAGTACTCCATGGGTTAGTGTGACAGTTACCTCCTTGGAAAGATGGATCGAGGAAGGGCAATGTATCCATCATTATGGAAATGAGCTGCATACTGATATGGAGAATCTACAAAACACAGAGCAAATGCGTAGAACAATTATTTTAAATGACGTCAAGGCTGCTGTGAACTTTCATCCCAGTTGTAATGGCGCCCTCCAGTGGCAAAAGCGTGGCAGAAAGAAGTCTTTGTAAGACGGGCTTCATTAGACGGTTTTAGACAAAGAGGTATTCATTGACAAACATCAGGTAGAAAAGGATTTGTGTCTTCTTGTTGATGTTCAAAGCAGAAAGAGTTTTAGTATTTCAAAGGCAAAATTTCATATTATTCCTCTTAACACTGAAAAGTTTAATTTAAAAATAAAAAAAATGAGTAATGGACTTCAACCTAGTTTGGTTGCACGAGGATCACGCTTCGATTTACCTGGATGACTGAGAAGAATCTACCTAGACATCTTATGGGAGCTAATGTCAGATAACTTTAGATATTGAAGCTAATATGAGAAAAAAGTTTTTTCCCCCCTTTTTGTTGGTGTTCAAAGCAACAAGTCTTTCAGTTCATAAAATAATAAATTATATATTATTCCTCATTACAATGAAAAGTTGAATTCCTTAATACTTACAAAAATAGCAATTCTTGGTAGCTAATGTCAGCTAAGTTTAGGTATTAGCAGGAAGCTAATATTTCTGAATTAGTGCGCTAACTTTAACTTATTTTCTTGCTGGTGCTATTATAGGATATAACTTTTAGCATTTCTGAAATCAATTCAGTATTTTCTTTTTGGTTTACATCGTTAACTGTCACACTAAATATAGAGTAGCTGAAGGTAACATTAGCCACTATAAGCTAACAGACAAAGTACTTCTGTAGCTGCAAAACCTCTTAGCCTATAGCATTATTAATTAAGCCTTTAAGGATATTTTTTTTGTTTCAAATGTTAACTTTATCAAACTTGATCATTTGATTTCTTCTCTGATTTTAAACACATATAAGAAACAAAATATCTCAGTTCTAAGCTGCCCAAACTATGTCACAGAAATCCATGTGCAAGGAGCTAAATGCAATTTTATAGAATAAAAATCTTCTTAGCTACTAAACTTGACTCCATGATGCAAACTCATCAAGACATGAACAAGTTATTTGTCATTCCTCACGCACTACTTTCTCCGACATTTCACAGAGATCGAACTGAATTCATGGAAACCCGTCATGCACAAATACCACATGAATGAAAGAATGCTCGAAATACATCCCAAATCACCCGAACACCTTCACGCTGAGCACAGTTTGAGGTGTTAGTAACAGCCCAAATGAGTAGAGCGGATTTTATTTTCTGGCTTGGACATTGTCCGAGAGAAAAAAACAAGTATTTCTGGTGTATCTTCTTGTTGTATAGACAGACATTCTTGAGAGTGACGATAACAGGGCTTTTTTTTTGTGAGTAGATTTCTTACAGGCAATGACATGACGATATAGAAAAACAAAAAAAAAGGGAATTCCACATTTCATGAAGGTACCAAAACAGGCAGGAACTAAAGTCTACCATCCTATTACTTTTTAGAAAATGCAGAATTCCCCTCTCCCAACTTTCCATTGGGGATAAGACTCTCCCAGTCACCAGCTGAGAACAGACACGTTTGGTTTGTTTTTGTGCTTGAACATGTGTTAGGCAAGAGGCGGTTCTGGTTGAGTTTGAAAGGGACGCGGTGGGGCCCCTCGAGCGCAGACGGGCCCCTGTTAGTGACGTTCATGTCAGGCAGACTGAATATCGAGATACTATACCATTTGCCTCGCTATCTTCCAAATTCCTCAGGGCTGCGGGGGAGGAGGAGACCTGGCCTGTGTGTGCAGGATATATCCATGAGAGTGCAAGGGTAAGACATACGTAATCATTTAGGGTTAACCCTCCTAATGCAATGCTCGGGGAGGGAACTGTGATTTTACAAGGGTTTGAAAACGTGAATCATATGGTCTGCATGTATACAACTAATATCTTTGTCCATACGATGCAGATAAGTAAGAGATGTGGGGAAGGGAATGGGGCCTTTTAGCAAATTGGTGTGATTATAAGTAAACAATGCAATTAAACATTTTCCCACATGCTGTTCTATTTCTGGCTTTGATTTTTGGATAACGTCCGCTTCATCTTTGACTTCTAGCTTTGTATTTGTCTTCTCTACTTGCAAATGGAGCTGCAAGAGAAACTACAGAATTGGCTGAAAATTAAGTAGAATCATTGTTATTATGATAGACGATTATAAAGCTAGTCGACTTACTTTCTTCACAGTTCAGGCCCGAGTGGTTGGGTGTACACAGGCACTGGCCATCGACACAGCTGCCGCCATTCTGGCAGTGAAGGTCGCTCTGGCACACGTCTCTCACCACCTCACAATGCTCACCTGCAGGGTCACACAGCAGTTTAAGATAAGGGGTTAAAGGTCAGTGGTAAAGTTCACAACAAAGGCAGAGCATGTTTAAAGGGTTTCTGGGATAATACATTGAACATGTGCTTTTTCTTTTAACAAATTAACTGAATATTATTCAGATATTTTTGAATGAGCAGATCTCTTTAACTTTGTTTTGAACCAGATTTCATGGTGTCACAGCTCAGAAAAACACAATCACTTAAAGAAAGTAAAGTTATAAATGGAAAGAAGAAAAGGGGGAGGAAGATAAAGACCATATTTTGAATTAACTGTGTTAGGAAGACTATAGAGAGATCTGAGAGCTGATTTGGAGACGGGGCACTAACCTTCAAATCCATCCTTACAGAGGCACTGGTATTCATATTCAACACTCGACATGCAGTGTCCACCGTTCAGGCAGGGCCGGCGGTCACAGGGGCTGTCGTCCACACACTTGCGGATAGATTTGCTTTCTGTGAAGCTGTAGGACAGATCTAGCTTCTTGTTGTTGATGGAAACCTAAGCAGGTGGCATTCAGACAAATACAATGGTTAAGCTACCAAATACACAAAAAGAGACTGACCAGCTTTTGTTTGATCTTCTTCTTTATCACAGTGAGAACTCACCTCTCCTATACATCCCTCAAACATCTCGCTGACATTTGCAGGCTTAGGCAGGATGTCCATGTTGGGGACTCCTCCCAGGTACATGGCTGTGTGGATATTCAGACCCTGGGCTTTTCCTGGAGATGTCTTCCTCTCCACCGGGCCTTGATCGACCCTCAGGTGACCGGCCCTCTTGTTCCGCTCGGCCACAACTTTGTGCCACTGGCCCAGAGAGACCGGCTCTGGACTGCGAAGGATGGCCTGGCCTGAAAGATGAGAGAGGGGTCCACACAGCTTCTTTAAAGTGGGATCTTTAAGAGCACCTCAAGTCAAGATCATCTTGCTTGTGATGTATGATAACTTAAGGAATTCATAACATTTGTATGGCAACCTTTCTGACTCAAGTTACAAACACCTGTCTTTTTTTAAGAAGTGGACAAAGCCTCTAGATCTGAAAAATGAAGCCATTGTAGGAGTTCCTTTAACCTGTGCTCTTTCTAAATTCCAGCAGGGGGCGACTCCTTTGAAATGAACCTACTTCTAACTAAACTTTTTACCTTTGTAAAATTTTTCCTAATGAGTTAATTGTCATAATTGCTAGTTGCATATCTTCTTAAATACTGCATGGTGTTCATTTTCTAAGTTAGTAAGTTTTTTAAGTTTATCTAGATAAAACAGTTTTTTCACAAGCTAAAATTAGCCTCCCAATCAAAACCACAGACAACGCTAGTCCTTGTCTTAGCTGATATCTTTTCATCATTTACTAATTCCTCTTAAATCTCCAGCTCTTGTCCAAATTCAGTCACATCCAGCCCTCAAGAAAAACACCATGGCGACAGCCTCCAGAAATTCATTGCTGAGATTAAGGCTACATCCAGTTCTTATATAGGGTACATAGCACATGTTGATATAGTATCCAGGGCAGATACATGACTACCTTCTTTTCATTGATGAATTACCTGTGCCCAGTTCGTATCTGAACTCTACATGTCCATCCACCATGGAGACGGCCACAAAGTCCTCCACTTTCATTTTCTTCCCGCCACAGAAGAACATGAGACCGTCTCTTTCCAGGGGCTTGAACTCCAGCTCGACCCGCAGGTCATCGTGGATGTTGGTCAGGGGAGGATAGGCGATGTACGACTCCTCTCCATCGAACATTGGAGTGGTCACCAACTCCCCTGGTGGAAGTCAACCGAGAGGATAATGCATTAAAATTAAGATTCTGTATTGTTTAATTTCATTTGAATATCTAGAAGTAAATTCCTGTCTTACCATCCATGCATTTGTTTCCAAACTTGCCAAGATGGCAGCGGCAGTCATAGCCCAGGCCATTGGGGCGGTTAATGCAAGTGGCATCTGGTCCGCAGGCCTCTGTGGGTTCATGTTCAAACCGTTACAAACATCTAGTTTCAAGATGTTTTCAATGGTATTGTTGCATACTACTTAAATTAATCCAGGTGCTTTGTTTTATCATGTGTGGTCTGTTGGCGATCGTACCTGAGTGACAGTGAAGGGATGGGTGATGCTGGCAGTTGCTGCCTGTGAAGCCTCTGGGGCAGCTGCACGAATACAAGCTGGCATCCGAGTCCTCACACCTCCCTCCATTCTGAATAACAATGTAGAAGAAATGATGGGATTAAACACAGGCTAGATGCTACAAAAACAAGAGGTGGATGGCAGTTACTGACCTGGCATGGTTGGTCTTTGCACGTGGGGCAGTTTGTGACTCCTGTAGAGCTGCGGTCGAGGTCTTTGAAGATGACTTCCTCGCCCTGGATGACCAGCTGACGGATACAGCCTGCGCACAAGTAATTACAAATAAGAAAAATCCAAAAAAGAAAAGGTATGTTCCCTCCATCCTTTATTCCTGCATAAACAGAGATATATATTACCGACAAAACCAGTCTTAATGCCGGCAGTTTTGGCGAGACTAGTGTAGTTGGGGTAACCGCCCACATGCAGCTCCTCGTTCAGATCCAGTCCCTGGAACTTGCCCTGAAGAGAAAACAAATTAACTCTCGCAAATAAATCGAAAACACCTACGCAAAAGAGGAGTTACTTTCACGTTGACAGAAATACCTGCGAGCTGCCGTTTATCGGCTCCCCTCCGTCCACGATGATGTAGCCCAGGGTGCTGTTACGAGACAGCTCGACGGTGTGAAACTCTCCCAGTTTGATGGGGTTGGGGTCGCGTATGGAGGCCATGCCCGAGCCGACGTCAAACCTGAATTGATTATCAACTTGATCACCATGTTTTTATTCCAGTCATTAATAAGAACTTTGAGGGTGTTTATAATCTGACCTGAACTCCAAACGACCTCCAACGAGTCCCAGAGAGATAAAGTCTGCACCGGTGGTCCTTCTCTGGCCGTTGTAGAGGATCATACCTTCGCCAGAATAACAAGAATAAGTAAGGGCTAGAAAATAGAGCAATACTTATAAAATATCCATCTCAAGAAGTCAATTAATAAAGTAGCTTGAAGTGTTGTCTTTCACTATTTGAAAAACATATCAAGCTCATTTTAAATAATTACTTGGGCCACTGGGAGAAAATATTCTATTCTTCAGTTTTGTCTCAAAATAATAACACTTACTTCTTTAACATTCACTGAAATAACAGTCAGATCCTGCTGGTGCAAGATCTGACTGAAGAAAACTTTTTTTTTACCTAACAGGGGCGTCTGAGTGACTTGTTAGGATGGATATTGTTTCTGGAGTCGTTCATACAGCGTGGTAAAGCTGGATGGTAAAAGCAGCATGCTATGGTGAGGCAACTTTTAAAGCCAACCAAAGCCATTCTATCTGAGCATCACTGGGCTGCCGTACTTGGCACGGTCATTCCTTTTTCTGGTCTCCACATGCTGGGAAAACATGCTCTGAAGGGAACCACAAAGGCTCATGGGAGTATCGGGGAAACATGCCCTCTTGCACTTCAATCAGTGTACCCCCTGATGGCTGTGAAAATAAGTGATCTAGAGAGAGGAGACTGCCATAAATATGCAACACAAAGTTTAAAAAACATAGTGTGCTAAAGATGTTTGTATTGCACATTGAAGCAGGAGGAGTCGAGGGGGCTTAAATAGTTTTGTAAGAACCAGAAATTGCTTATAGATGTTAAAAAATAACCGCCAGGATTTTCTAAACATTTATCTGTAGAGACTAAATAAGGGCTTGCAAACTAAATGTGTCCTTCTGTAGCTCTCACTGCCTGATTTGCTGTTCAACATAAACATGGAGAGTTGGTTATAAAAGGAAATCATTCAAGGAGTGTTCTGTAGAAGCTGGCACAGCAGAAGCTGATGAAGTGGACTTGGATGTAAAAGTCGACATGTAACCGAGCTGATGACTGCAGAACACAGATGGCATGCACCATATTGCATCTCGAACGCAGCTTTTTGAAAATCAGCCTTGAGCTGGATGCATTATGTGAAAGTCTGATGGAGTTGAAAAAAGCCAACATCACTCTTGAGTTCCTGTGGTTCTCAAGCACTGAGACTCACCAGCGTACAATATGAGACCTTCCCACCACGTGGGTGAGAGGAGGAGGGGAGGGGAGAGAGGGAGGGGACAAGAGACGCGGTAAATTTATACATTTATAAAGGAAATATGACAAACATACAGAAGAACATCACAGTGCAAAGAGATTAAAAAAAGAAATGGCACCCTGCAAATTTCACCAAGAAAAAGTGTTTTTTTAAAAGTTAAGGTTTTACTTCTTACCATCGACATTATCAGGTCTGAAGTTGATCTTGATGCTGAAAGATTTGTAAGCGTTTTTGATGGTGGGCAGGGTGAGGTAGGACAAGGGTTCCTGTGTGAAGTACGGCATCACTCTCTCTGAAAGTAAACACATTGAGTCAAACCCTGCAGATCATGCTGGAAAAAAATCCTTTTGAATATTTGTATTCTGCAGAACCAACCGTGAACTTCAAGTGTGGTAAAGGCTTCCACTTTCCCCTGTTTGTTGGAGGCGGTGCAGACGTACGTCCCAGAATCCTCATGGGAGACCCGGGGAACCGTCAGCACATTGACGTCCTGGAAACACTTTGGAGGAAGCTCTGCATCCAACTAGAGATAGAAACAGACACAAGACAAAATCAGCATAACAAAACACAACTCATTTCATAGAAACGTTTCTCTCTTCAGGATGGCAAGCGTTTAAAGGGTTGATATTAAAAGAAGACTTTCAGCCTTGAACATTTTTTTTTTATATAGGTTTAGTAGCAGTTGAAAGACCCCATCCATATTTCTAATGTTCCCAATACAAAAATGGGAACAGACATAGCACTTAAAACAGTTCTTCTCAACTGGTTGGATCGGGACCATCTTCAGTGGGTCGACAACATGGGAAAATACAACGCTGCAAAAAGTCTATGATGCGCTCTTAAAACCTGTTTTTTTTTGTCACATTTTGTTCCATCTGAGGTCCAAACTGCATTATTATTCATTAAATAAATCCGAGTGGTTTAAGAATATTTTGAAATTTTCGGTCATGATTTCTCATTAAGGAGGTGGTGCTGGTGGTGGATCCTGAGGCAAGACCAGTTGTAAACCAGTGTCTTAAAAAAGCATTTTAGAGTGAGGGATGTACAGTGATTGATCCTGATATACGTGTTCTGTGATTGGTCAAATACATGAATACAATACAATTATTAAAAGACAGCAAAAAAACACGTGTAACAGCTTGTATCATGTCCCCAAAACTCCTGGATTTACCTCCTGACTCTGTTTATATCATGCAGACAAACAGCTACACCATCAGAGTCCTCAATTGTATTATTTTTCACATGTGGCATTTTTAATATATCGGCCTTGAAGGACCCCAGAACAGATCAAGCCTACCTAAACAGTTTTATTTTCTTTAATTCCTCCAATACACAATCCAGAAATAGAGGATGAATTTGGTTACCTTGGCCCATTTGATGTCCGGTACAGGGTATCCTGAAGCCACACAGGGCAGGACTGCATCCGAGCCAACTGTCACCTCCTTAGTTTCAGGCAGCGCAGCAATTTGAGGAAGGGCTGTTCAACCAGACAAAGGATTCAAATTAATGTGGTTACCGCTTAAATAGAAAGCATTTAAATACATTCTGTTATTATATGGTTTTTTTTTCTTGAGAACTTACACTGGACGTTGAGGACGACCTGCGACTGTACTGAGCCCACGTCGTTGGTGGCTGTGCAGCGGTACTGCCCGGCATCAGCCTCCGTCACCTGCTCGATCTTCAACATGCCTCCCTTCACCATGATGTGAGCAGGCAGAGACCCACCCACTTTACTCCATTTGACAGTGGGCTCAGGGTCACCGACAGCCTGGCACTCAAACTCCACAGAGTTCCCGATCATCACAGTCTGCACCGAAGTGCGCACGTTGATCATCACCTTTGGCAGGGCTGCGGAGAGAAAAAGACAAAAAAAAAAAGCAGTTTGTTATTTTTGGTTTTAGTGAAGCTCATGCTGGTATATTTGCAATGAGTGTTTCTGACCTTGGATGGTCAACCTGGCAGAGTCCTGGGCCTGACCGTACACACCGCTGGCTCTGCAGATGTAAACGCCTTCATTGCTCTGCTCAAGGTTCTCAATCCTGCAGAAAAGCATGCAATTATAGACATGTATGCAAGATGGGTTTGGTTTTTCTTTCAAATATAACACAATACTTAAGGGACCATTTACCATGAAAAAGATGAAAATCATCATTCATTTTAACGTAGAAGAAAGAGAGAAATGTACAGCAATCTCAGATTAAAAGTAATTGTTCCTGTATCTCCATTGTTGTCCATAAAGCATTAAAAACATGCTATAAATGATTCACACTGCTGCTCTGGATATCACTCTGTACATTTAAGTTTAGTCAACAAAGTAACGTTTGCTTTAAAGACTCTCTAAAGCACCAAGTAGAAAGCTGAAAATGGTCTCAGTTAAATGCAATATTTACGATTGCTTGAGTCCCATTTTCCAAAATCTTCAGCACCCAGCTGTTTGAGAAAAAAGTATTTGGACTCTTTTTAGATGATTTAGATTTTCATAAACCTAATGGCTCACAGAGGCATGCTAACGTTTGTTTTTACGTCCTTGTGTTTGTTCATGGTTTTTCTTTTTCCTCCTGGGGTTTGCTAAAGATACCAGAATAGATCGTTAGAATCGCTTAAGATGAATAAATAAGTTTTTATGTATAGGCAGTTTGATCCTTTATACATACATCATGAATACCAATTCAGAGCTGTAGTGTAACCTTGTTTCTTCAAACTAACGTTTGTGATATCAAATTCACCTGAGCACTCCGTCCTTGACGTGGTGGTTGGGTGGCAGAGCTCCTCCCTCCTTCAGCCACTCAATCTTGGTTTCTATACCTCCTGCTGCTGAACAGGTGAACTCCACAGCACTGCCCTGAGCTTTCACTTCAACCTGGGGTGATACTCGCACTGCCAATGGGGCTACAGAGGGGGGGCGAAGGAAAGAGACATGATGTGTTGCTTAAAGGAATATCACTTCTAACACATCTTCATACGACCATTTAAATTCAAAGATGCTCCTAGATGTTTAAGTATTTATACCTATAGAAGAGAAGACGATCTTCATTTTTTTAAAAATATGTCAAACCTTGTTAAATTATTACATTATTATCCAGCTTACATCTGACTGTGACTTTAGCGACCACCTCGCTGTTGCCCACTTTGTTGCTGGCCACACACTTGTAGCTCCCAGCGTCCTCGGCGGTGGCCAGGTTGATCTGAAGGTCTCCTCCGCTGACCTCGGCCCTCGGGGGAAGGTTTCCGTCCAGTTTGGTCCACGTGTATTCCAGAGGAGGAGTGCCATGAGCCAGACACTGCAGCCTGATCACCTCCCCGACCCGCACGGCGACGTCATCGGGCAGCGAGGTGGCGTACGGGAGCGCTGGAGACAAGAGGAAAAAACAAGATAAAACAAGACGAACAAAGGAGGAATTTGCACTCAGTGTTTTTTAAGTTTTTAATGATGTTAAAGCAGGAGGGAAAGTAAGTGAGACACAATGACAGCGAGCTGTAAAACCAGCAGACTCACTCTCTACATCTAGCGTGATGATGACTTCAGTGGTGCCCATGTTGTTGGTGGCGGTGCAGATGTATTCTCCAGAGTCTTGGCGGCCCACAGTGGGCAGGACCAGGGCGTTGTCCACCACTTTGTGTCTCCAAGGCAGAGGAGAACGCAGCTTGGACCAGGTGATCGTCGGGGGGGGTAAACCTACAAAGGCATTTTTGAGAAGAGTGCATAGATTTGGTGCTCAGCTAATTTTAACAAACAAGAATGAAAATGTTTTTTTCTCTTATGGCATTGACTTAATAAAAAAAAAAAGGCTGGTACAGGTGTTGTCAAACTATTTCCAGGATGGTAAGGTAAAATCAAAGTGCAACAAATGACATAAACCTGCTTCCAGGCGCGTGATTTAGATTTTTACGGGCATCATTACCGTGAGCATCGCAGCGCAGCGTTGCAGTCTGTCCCTCCACTATCACCATGAGCGGCTCGGGGACACTGGCTCTGGGCACTGAGGGCACCTGAGCGCCTCCTTCAACCACAACCTCCACCTTTGTCTCAGTGCTGCCCTCGTTGTTGCGAGCCGTGCAGACATAGGTGCCGCTGTCTTCTGGGCGGGCCACTAGTATCTGCACGGGAAGAAAGAACATAGATGATATAAAACATTAACTCCAAAAGCTCAGTCTTTACATAGCAACAGAGAAGTAATGGACTACAAATAGGACTACAGATTAAATTGCGCTATCATGCTTAGTCCAGTGTGTTCACTTTTGCACACATAGCTTATAAATTGATTCATATGCATTGTCCAAATTAATTAATATGATTGATTGAGTTTGAATTGATAACTGTGAATAAAAGAAGGGAGGATACATCTGTCAAAAGAGAGAAAAGAAAAAAAGAATGTGGAATTGGAGGCATAATGTAAACTTGTGAAACTGTAACCAATCATGTTATTAAGATGTGTTTCAGTACCTGCATGACCGCATTAGACTCCATGGGCACGGGGCTGGTCAGCATGGTCCTGCGGTTGCTGTCCAGTCTGTGCCATGACACAGAGGGGCGGGGCTCTCCCGACGCCTGGCATTCAAGATTAATGGGTTCACCCACCCTGACACGCACGGGTCCAACAGGAGTGACGGTGGCCACAGGAGACTCTGAAGAAGACACCGATAACAAAAACACTGATACGGTTCTGATCGGAACGAGCCACTAGAGGGAACCGTTTACTCAGGAGTCTTTTGGTTTGCATGATGACTTTAAAATATGGAAACACCCTTTTGTTTCTAAATAATCGAGGCCCGACGTATGCTCACCTTTGATGATCAAAGACACGATGGTGTGGGTGATGCCAAACGGGTTGCTGGCCACACAGCGGTAGGCGCCATGGTTCATTGGGCGAGTGCTGGTGATGGTGATAACAGAGCCATCAGGACCAATTTTCACGTTATCTGCAAGGGAAAGTAAAAAATAAAACATTATGTCCACTGTATGACAGCCTACTTTTGAATGCACAGGTTTACTCATCATGATAAGCATTACAGAAACTTTTAAAATGTTGCATCATTTCTTCTTAGGGTCTGCAGGAAGCTTTGAAAAGCTTAAAGAACCTTTAAGAGCTCATAAGGACTGTGAGAGCTTTTGGAGCAGCTTCTTAAGTGTTTTAGATGATGAACCGTAGATAAGACTGTTGCAGTCTAGTCTGGAAGGGATGATGAATACGTGGGGGACGGTCTCAGTAGCTGAAAAGGAAAGGGATGGGCGGAGGCGGGCGATGTTCCACTGATGGAAAAAGGCTGTTTTGGTGAAGGAGAGGGTTTGATCAAAAACCATAAACAGGTTATGGATATGTGGGGGGGGGGGGGGGGGCATTGATGGAGAGGGAGAAGTGTTGTTGGTGGACTTGATGAGGGATTTGGGACTGATGGTGTTGATTTCTCATTTGTCGCAGTGAGGAATTTTAAGTTGCTCACTCAAATCTTGAGTCCAAGACAATCTTTCCAAAATAATGTGGATTTAAAGTGTAAGACAAATGTAAGATAGTCAAATAATAAAGGTGCAAGGTCATCATACCAAACAAAAGAGTTACTGAACAGAGATTGAAAAGACATGACTGGAAACAAACATGCTAATTTTTATTTGAGCTGTCATGTCATTGGTTGTTCTTAAGATTAATGACCTGTAATGTTTTTAGAAAGTAAAAATGTCGGTTCAAGTCGAGAGAAAAGAAAGCCAGAGTTCTAAATTAGTCATTAAATGGAGCAACAGAGCAGTTTATTCATGGGTGGATTGTGGCTGTAATTGCTTGTAAATAATGACATCATAAAATCAGACCTCATTAAACAGGTTTATTCCAATGTGTGTGTATGTGTGTGTGTGTGTGTGTGTGTGTGAGAGTGTGTGGTTATTACCTGGCAGCGGCTGGTTGTTGGCCAGTTTCCACTCCAGTCTGATTGGCTGGGCTCCGCTGTATATCCTGCACCTGAAGCTGGCCGTCTCCCCAACGCTCACCGCAGCCCTGTGAGGCTCGACGGCGATGATTGGACTCTGAAGACCTGCAGCACAGAGAAGAATTCGACATGATCGCTTCAAAATGTCACTTCATTTCACAGACTTATTATTCACAAGAACTAACACAGACAGATTACTATTCAACGTGGCTTTGGGCTTCACTGGCAGGACTTAAAGAACCCAAATATTGTTAAAGGTCCAGGACAGAGTGAGCGGAAGATGACATCATGGGATAGTAGAGAGGGAAATCATTTCATCTGAGGTCACGCTGGGCTCCACTGGAAAAGTACGACTGGAAAGTGAATTCATGAAGTGAGAGCACTGTTAGTCTGAGAACAACACCCCGGCCCCTGACATGTAAAATGCCCGGCCCTGAAAGTGTTTTTCCCAGACTCGTCACTGATGTGGTCTTCAGCTCACATTTCCTCGGTGAGAAAGTCACGACTGTCAAGTCTGATCAAAGCGTCAGATATAAAGAAAAGGGAAGTGAAATAGGATTGTTTGGGGAAAGAATAGAAATACAAAAATGGACTCTGCTTTACAGGAAACATTCATTTCTTCTAAGTGTAACTCCATCCATTATCTACACCACTTTTTCCCGTTCTGGGTCACGGGGAGCTGGAGCTGAACCCAGCTGTCTTTTTCGGCGAGAGCCGGGGTACACCCTGGACTGTAGAATCACAGGCTAAAAACCTTCTCTATCCCTGACGTTTCGTCCCTTATCAATAATGAGTGTACTCATTATTATTATTGGTAATTAGTACCTCATACAACCACACTTCAAAAACGATCCCTTAAATGTTGTGGCAATGTTATTTTTTTGTAGATTGTCATGTCCTAAGATTCCTGAAATGTCTTGCCAGTAGAGCCTTTGAATCAAATAAATCGGCAGGCGATTGAATTCACTACACCAGCTCAGTGGTAGAGTTGGTTGTCTTTGAATTGGTAGGTTGGCGGTTCGATTCCCCAGCTCCTGTAGTCCACATGTTAAAGAGTCCTTGGGAAAGACCCTGAACCCTGAAATGTTCTCAGTGGCAAAGCCAGCACTGTGTGTGTGTGTGTGGATGTGCATGAAGGGGATTAGTAAATAGTAATGGTCACTCTGAACAGTATCCTCTGCCATCAGTGTGTGAATGTAGTGTGAACGGGTGAATGTGACATGTGATGTTAAAGCACTTTGTGAGTGGTCAGAAGATTTGAAAGCACAATATAAGTACAGTAAGTCCTGACTTACGTGAGGAAGACGAGGTGACGGAAACAGAGACGGAGGCCTGATGGACATGAGAGCCTGGGTTTCCAAGGTTACCCTGCACCCGACAGATGTACTCCCCTGAGTCCTCTGAAGAGGCCGACAGGATACGCAGCTGACTGCCCAGAACCTGCACAGGGAAATGAGTCATTTTGGTTCTGTTTACTAGAAACTCCCCCTACAGCTACTACAGCTGGAAAATAATTACTAACCATATCAATATTCACAAGGTTGCAGATATATTTTGAGAAATTCATCATCATTTGTGTTTATTTATGTGTGTACCTGGTGGTTAGAGGAGAGACGCCCGCTGGCTCTGGTCCATGTGACTTTAGGGGGAGGGTTTCCAGGAGCAAAACAGTTGAGCTCCAGACTCTGACCCTCCTGGACGTCAGCTATAGATGGCTGGATGCTGACCACTGAGGAGCTGTAGTCCGCTGCAAAGACACACAAACATACACACAACGTGGTGTCAAGAATTCTGTCTGACATTCAGAATCTTATGACCTTGCATTTTTTGTTGTTGTTTTATGTGTTTATTTATTTTAAACCCAAGGACTCTGGTCCATTTATATTCTGATATTTGTGTCGTCTTAATTTTCCAGTTTGACGCTGATTCTTCTTAACTGTGATGACTGTCATACCTTTGATAACAGTGACTTCAATGGGAGAACTGCTCGAGCCGATGCTGTTGCTGCCCTCACACACGTAAGTGCCCGACTCGGACATTTTGATGTTTGGGATGAGCAGAGTACCGATGTCCGTGCGGTCCATACGGGCCTGGATAAGACACATCGGTGAGTGAGGACATCAGAAACTGTTCTGAAGAAACCCTACCATGATCAACAACACTGTGCTCTACATATCAGATGAACTACTTGCACCATATAAGCACACATAAACTATACACTGTGGACAAAGCACGTCACTTACCTGTCTCACGTCCCTTTAAGAACACAAACATGGACATCGCTGACATCACAACATGTCTAACTAATAGCAACACAAAAGCACTACAGCGTTGATTTTTTTAAGACAAGACAAGAGCTGTTATTGCTACGATTAAGTCCGCCTGTTAAGTGGATTTTCATGATTTCTAACACTGTTATAAGTTGATTATTAGATCTACAGCACTATGATCTTTACTATACTAATTAGATGAATGATTGTTGATTTTTTTTGAGGGGTTAGTATTGACAGATTGTGACATATATTTGATCAAATAAACATGACAAATCAAAGTAATTATCAAGGGGTGATTATAGTCAAATCCTTAAGAGTCAAATTCTCCCTGAAACAAATATTGAGTAAGAACAAAAACCCTGCATCAGCTTCAAAATCCATATTTAGGGGAGCTCTCTTATGATGTTCTGGCTCGTGAGCAAACAACAACTTGACTTGTTTGTACACCACTCCACATGGCAGTCAGCCGCCCCAGCAAGGGTGAAAACGAGCTTTTATAAAGTTTGGAAACACCTCAGAGGGGAGGGGAGTCAGGAGGGGAGGGTCTGGGGCTGGGAGGGGATTACTGTATCCGGAGGGTGTTGGGGCATCCATGGACAAAGCTGCTTAGCTCCGGCCCATTCAACCGTGAGGCGGGCTAAACCGAGTAGTGGCTGAGGCGGGCTACGGGCTCAATGTGTGTCTGAACCCATTGACAAGTTTTCAAAGCAAGCCGTTTGCTAGAGCATACAGAATTTCTGCGTGGTCGCACGGCAGAGCCCGGCTCCCCCTGGGAAAGGCTGACACAACGCAGGGGCTCTCTGAGGCAGAACTAAACAGGCCCCCGAGCCCTCAGCGAGCCGAGGAGGGCTGTGCAGAAACCAGACGAAACACAATAACCCGCTGGGCAAGGGGGGCAGCAGGGGTGAGCCTGGCACGGAGCAAAATATGTCTGAAATACCTTCAGTTCCTACTGTATGCTTAGTCCTGTTAATACACTCAGTGGAATGGTGGAGGTCAACTGGGTGCTGAGAGTCTAAACACGTCAGGGATGGTATGATGTAGACAGCACAAAACAAAAGACTATGGAACATTGATTAATTAAACGCAACAAATATACATGGATGTCATGCACTAACAAACCAACCAGACCCAGCTGGTTGGTTTAATCAGCTCTAATGGGACAACGTGAGCAGCTGTGGTGACTCAACAGGGCTGACAAAGTGTGAATCAACGTGTTGTACATCATGCACTTAGTCGACAATGTGTGAAGACGAAGGTCAGTAAGGACAGTCGATGTGAACTACAAGACAGACAGACAGTGGACAGATGGACAGACCTGCAGCTCCTCAATACGTCTCTGTAACACATCGAGACTGTTGCTTTTAAACTGATGGAAACCGTGAGAGGGAATGGCCTGAGCAAAATGTCAGAACAGGGTGGGATCAAAAAAAAAAAAGAAAGGGGGGAGGAGACAAACAGAAGGGAAAAGGTACATGGTCAAAAAAACTGTCAAGTCATTAAAAAAAACATGACACATTTGATTAAATACCATCGTCACCGGAAACTCCTTGATGTGCAAAACAGAGACGAAGATGACTTTAAGTAGTTACTGTACAAATCCATCCATGATGAAGTCATCTTTAAAGACACTAAGACAGCAGGGGGAGTGTCTCACCTGTGCAGGTATTTGATCTCCGGTTTTCTTCCAGGTGAGTTTCGGGGTTGGTGATCCGGATGCTCGGCAGTACAACCTCAAGGTGTCGCCCTCGTGGACTTTAATGTTTTGGGGACTGACTTGGACTTGGGGCTTGGTGCCTAATCCTACTGGGTTAGACTCTGGCAAATAAAATAAATAATTCTAGTCATTAAAACACATAATAGACCCCTCAAAACCATTTCAAACTTCTTGAGCTTCACTGCTGAAATTTCATCAGTTCAGTCGTTGACTTTTGTAAACTGTATTTTTGCAACAGATTTGAAAGTTACACGACAATTCTTTTAAAAATGATGATAAGCTTAGGAAAGCATTAATATATATATATTTACATTTACTTTTTATTTTTATTAATATTATAGTTTGGGGTTTTTTGATCCTTTAACCACTTGTTTCTATTTCTTTTACTGCTCTTACCTTCTTACTGCTGTTATCTTTTTATCTATTTTTTTCAGCTCTTTTAGTTTCTTACACATTTTTAAATCTTTGGTTCCTCTTGGTCTCAGCTCGTGTTGTTGGGTTTTTGTGTTGCCTGGGTTCTTATCATGGTTCTTGTGATGGTCGGGTTATATATGTCTGTTGGGTATCGTGCACTTTGGGTTCTTTTCTGTTGAATTGTATTTCATTATTTTTAGTATTTTGCATCTGTTATATTCTTACTGTTGTTAATGTTCTTCTGTGTTTGGTTTAGTTTGCTTTGTTCTTGTTTGTCAAAGCACTTTGTAAACCTGTGTTTTTAAAAGGTGCTATATAAATAAAGTTATTATTATTATTATTATTATATTATTATTATTATTATTAATAACTAAAATGCTGTTTAAATGGGCGAAACTAGCTTAGCAAGATGCATGATTTTACTCTTTTTTTTTTTTTGGGGAGAAATTTGAAAATAAATGTGTTTTTCAACCTGAACAATAATTTTTCCTTATTCAGGGGACAACGCAATGACCACAAGATCTGTTAACTACCATAACCAGCACATTCTCAGCCCCCACAGCTGTTCTATTCTTAACGATGAGATATGATGATTTACATGTTGGGATAATTATGTCCCCCACCCCAAATGGAAGACTGTTCTCCAAAACATAGGTGTGTAAACGGGTTCAGTATCACCATCATGCACAAACACAAAGCTTACTTTGAATATAGAGGGAACCTCGCGCTGTGTGCTCTCCGTGTGTGTTCAGGGCCTTGCAGGTGTACTCCCCCTCATCAGCCGGGTCCACTGCTGTGAAGGTCAGAACACCACCTCGTACCACAGCTCTGGGGCTCATTCTGTTTCCTGGACCTCCTGTAACAGACACAGAGTTACATCCTGTTACCCAGAGCTGCAGGATTCATGTTTTGACCCTGCTGGTTTAAATCTGTCACTGTGCAATGTACTGAATATCAGAAACAGTTTAAATTGGCCTTTTAGAGCAGTTGAAAGACACCGTATTCACATGGCGTCCATTTTTCTTTGACATCCTGCTCTGAGTTGGAAGATGAAATGCTGTCATTGGGGAATTTGTTCTGCTGTGTTCCGGTTTGCAGTTAGTTAAAACCTAAGGATTCTGAAAAATTGCTATCATTGTACTTCTTAACTATAAATGAGCAGCTGTGTGGATAGCGGAAATCCAGAGGCTCATAAATTCAAGTAAAACAAACATATGAGTTACCACTCAATAAAATGTTGGTAAAGAATCATCTACATCTAACTTATCAGTTTGGCTAATATTACAGAATATGGTCGGACAGGTTTTCTGGAATAATTGTACAAGCTAATGCTACTTTCATCGAGGGACTAGAATGCTAATTTTAGCTTTTGTGACTTAGCCTCCCTAATGAGAGGAATTACATAGGTCGTACCACCAGCTAAGCTAGCTAACATTACTGTTAACTAATTAACATTACAAGATAGGATGTTGGGCCTTAATGTTGTGTAACTTTATCAGACGGGATCGTTAGCCAGGAGGTTAAGAATGCTAATGTTAGCTGTTGTCTAATGGTGGCTAATGGTGGCTAACACGTGTCATTGTATTTTCAATGTAATTTGTGTTCATTATGAATTGAAATGCTTAAATTATAATAATTTGTCAGGTTCCCTTGTTCACAACTGTAAAACATTATAACAGCATGAGCTTCCTGCACGAGTGTGACGGCAAAGGAAAATGTTCACTTTGTAAATTCGGGGAACAGATATAACCCATCAAGGACTTCATCAAACGATATAATTGTGGATTTGTAACTGGTCATACCGATCCATTCAATAGCAGGGGTTGGGTTTCCAGTCACCGTGCAGCGAAACTCTGCTCGCTGACCCTGCTGGACATTCAGCACTGAAGGATTGATGGTGGCCACAGGTTGGGCACCCTCTGCAGCTACAGAAAGAAACAGACCAGTCAAACACACAAACCGAACGAGGCTTCCCAGAGGAAATGAAGAAATAAGACGGCAATGCCCTGGTCTAAATGTGCCTTTGGTGGAATATGAAACTTTGTGCATAGCTGTGGCAATTCTCTTGATTTATAAAGATCAATTCATTGACGCAGGGAGAGAATGATGGCCTCTGCCCATGCCCCCACCCTCACCCTCGGCGGTCTGGATCCTCGGAGCAGACAAAAACAAATGAGATGTGGCAGGCAGGTCTTGGCATGGCCTCTGGGCACATTGCTGTCTGCGCCAGTTTGGCTAGCTGCTAGACTTCATATTCAATCCGGTATGATCCCAGGGTGATGGAGCAGCAGAAAGGCCTCTTTCAGTGGAGCGGGAGGAACACAAGGCTATCTAAGCAGGCTGAAAACCTCTGGGACTGTTGTAGCCTGGGCAGAGCTTTTGACTCTCTGACCTTATTGACACTCCCAGGGCAGAGAAAAGGTTCATTGTCGGCCCAATGTCTACACTGAACTAACCAGTTAAATCTAGGACGGAAGAATAATATATCAACTTCAGTATAGGTTGAGGTGTTGGAGAGTCCCTCATGATGGGTTTTTGTAAAGATCTGTGGTAGAATCAGTGCATCAGGGCATAAAAGACAAAGGGTCTACTCACACAGATTGAGAGAAAAAAATTCTCACTTTATTACTTCAAGGTTTTGTGTTTCTACGTCCAGGTCTTTAATGGTTATTTGCCTTCACCCCTGTTCAATAAAAGTTTTCTAAAATACTAATTTGAAACAGATGTACCATGAATTTATCTTGTGTTATCATGCTTACATTTGATATTTAGCCCAATCAAAAGTATTAGACAAATTGATATTTGACCTGATGAGGGAGCTGGATGACAATTTAGGAGATAACAAAACTGTCACAAATAATTCTGAATTTCATGGTTATCCATTAAACAGTGTTCGAGAAACTAACCAGAATTGTCAATGCACGGAGGTTCAAAACTAATAAATCAGAGCGAGGACCCAAGGAAGTCACACTACAAATTGGTTGTTTACTCCAGTGTTTTGTATGCATTGTACGCAAGTCAATTTGAACAATCCTGGTGTTGTGGAGTACTCTGATCTTGAAAGCCGTTTGTTCCTACTCTAGCTGCTCCTTGGAGCAGTAGCACGGCTGTGCACATGGCACCCATCGATCCTCAAGCTTATCAGAGATATTTATATATCGGTAATTTTTTGGGGAACTATGAGAATGTCTAGAGGTTGAGATATGCCACAGCCTAAATGAAAAACTCGACGCTCAGGTTGCGCGGAATAAAAAGTCAGGGATTCATCTTTTGGGCGTCTTTAACTCTGGAAATATTCAAACTGAAACTAGCTCCATGGCTACAACAAGAGGGAAAAGAGAGAGCATGCTTTCTTGTACTTTAGGAAAAAGAAACCTTGAAATTCTTCATGACATACACAACATTGTTTGCCACCCATCAATAGATATCAGATTAGCTGTGTTCCATCTGTTTGACGCACTGAAACTAGGCATCTCCTACTGGACGAGTCTATCACCCGCATTAAGCTAGGATGCAAAGAGGTTGTGATGGGATGTATTAAGCACAGTATGATGTTTGAAGACCAGATGATGACTACTATAATGATATAGAAAGTTCCCTGAGGAGAAAGGGAGAAAGAGTGCAAGTGTACAGTGACAGAATAAGAAGGGGCATCTCTTGAGTCTGAATGTGGAGATGCGTTCACCCAGAAGTTAAAGGTACACTTCTTTCAAGGGTTAAAGTTCAATTTAACGGGATCATATTCTGGATATTATAATCCGATCTGTTTTGATCCATTTAATTTTCTGACAGATATCATTAAATTCAGAATCATGTCTGTATAATGTGTCTAATATGGATGGATATTTCCCACATTGTCTCGGGGTAATTAACAGTAAGTACTGCAGCGGGTTTGTCACCTTAGCCTTTTTGAAGGCTGATGCCTAATGCACAATTTTTTTTGTACATGTTGGAAACTTTTCAATGAAAGGAACTTGACTCAACATTCACGAGGAGCTGCCCAGAAGAATGAAAGTGTGCACTTTTTTTCTGCAGTGATGGACCAAAATGAACCAAAGGAACTGGGTGGACACTGGTAATGCTCATGTACAATGCAAGCATTCAACCCTGTGGGGGAAGAGGGAATTGATTACTTAAAATATATATGTTCTTAAGAGTTTAAATTCAACTTAAGGTGCTTGCTAACTAACAGCAAATAAGACAGGAGAGTGAGTGGAGAGAGTTTCTGCAGCCTCTGCTTGCTTGATTGTACAAGGGCGTTACCAGATCACCGGTATATCCATGCTGCCGGAAGATGAGTGCATGCGTGATACAGAGACAGATAGACGGGTCCCTCCAGGGAGCCCGGCAGAGGGGAAAACCATGCCCATGCGGACTTACGCTTTCTGTGTCCTTCAAACATTTCATACGCTGTGTAAAACATCTCAGTCTTTGAGGCCTCTGGAGTTGTTGGAGGGAGGAAGGAAGGAAGGAAGGGAGGGAGGGGGGAAGGGGACAGGTAAACTGATAGGTCAGGTTTCAGGGTTACAGCAGTTTACCTGTCCATCTCTAAATGAAGGCCTCCGTGGATTTTGTCCAATTGGTTTCAAAAAGCAGCACACAGGTTTTAAACACACAAAAACATCTCAATCATTAAATAAAGTGGCACCGACTTTTTTTTGTTGAGTTAATGATTCATTTGTTGAATTTGCTAATTCATGTTTTGATCATGATATTCGGTGCCACTTTATTCACAGTAATTCATTTTCAATCTTTGCACTCACCTGACACACGGAGAAAAACTCTGTGTTGGTATGAAGGTTCATGCTTATTCAACATTCAAAACCAACCAAAACACACATGAGAACATTGCTACAAAATGCTACTTATGCTTTAAATTCAAAAGTCACACAGCACACTCAGGATCAGGACAACGACATGGGATGAAGATTTGCAGATGAGCCACACGTGACACATGCAGGTTAGTGGCAAGAAGCAGTTTTGAACATTGAAACATCTGTTTCATTTCAGGGGTTAAAAAAGCGGACATACTGCTTGTGGTTATCCTGAATTTTGAGATATTAAAGTAAGTGAGCCTCATTTACAAATGAGCATATAAGTTTGGTCAATTGTCATCAATTTAATCCATTTTGTCTTATGCACAAAATATTTTCACAGTTAAGATAAATACATTACAATGTGACATGTATACATTACATCAGAGTGGTATTCTTTCGATATCAATGTCAATAAAAAAGGAGTAAAGTCTTTACAGAAGCACCTTTGGGTGATTTAACGATCACATAGCATTGGAGTCATGAATGAAGAAATAAAAGACAAATGCAGTCATTGTAAAGAATCGAAATGTTCTAAATGCGACCTGTGATTGTTGAGGTGTAAGATATATAAAAATATTTTTCTCATAAAAACAATTTAAATTGCCGTATTGTAAACACACTTGGCCAATTCCTTTAACCAAAATGATCAAAAACAGCCAAAATAAGTTCTAATATTTCTGATACATTTTGATTTCATGGAAACAGTTCAGGATAACATAATTCAGTCAATCAAAAAATCAAAAAATAAAAGGAAGAAAGAAAATGTGCCAACAACATTGACGGGATGGAAATAAAAAAAGACCATAACATATGATTTTAGCTGATTGTTGACAACATTATACTAAAAAAAGGATTGTCCCCTCTTTTTCTTTACAGGGAGATGTTGAAAATCTTAACAACTGAATCGGACCAGTAACAATTAATATAAACAAGGAGTGAATGAATGACATCATAAAAGTATAACAGCATGTTGGGAAAGGAAATTTAACCACAAGTTTAACAAACCGCATGGCTTATAGCACCGACAGTCATTTCAGAATAAACACTGTAAATGTGGGGATAGGGGGAAAACATTTTTAAAAAACGGGGTAATGGGGTTCTTCTCCCTTTCAGATACACTGACGTCCTCTTTGAATATCAGTCGCAGAGTCAATAAGCACCAAATTGCGGCATCCAAATTCCTCATCATCATCATCATCACACCTTACAGCTCAGGTAGAGAGGGCCCCCCCCCACCCCAGGAGCCCAAAGTTAAAGACACCAGAATCCAGCACCCTGCGAGGGACACCTCTAACAGCAGAAACCGGACACTACTACCAGTACTCGAAAAAAGCAACTAAACCACCACCGATTAATTCAGGAAAGAAAAAAATAAACTGCGGTAGCTTCAGTAGAGTGTTGGCCGAAAGCATTAACCACAAACCGTTGACCCAAGAGAGCACATATCAGGTCTAATTGTAGTAGATGTGCATTGACTAGTTGCAATTTTAAACTGCATTGTTGTCCTGATTTGTTATTTGGAAAATATATACGCTAAAGTTTTTAGTTTTAACCAATCCCCACAAGCTGTATTTCTTCATTTAAAGTCCAGAAAAAGCCACTGATCGGACACACACAAGGGTTAAAAAGGCAGCAAGGAGAGCGGGATTTGCAGAATGGTAATGCAACATGGTGGATGTGTGGGTGTCTGAGAGCAGAAGCATGGAGAGTTAGACACTGCAAGCTTATTGTGCTGTTAACTCAGAGCTGAGTGTTTTTCAGTGCATGATGGGAAATGCAGTAAACCAGAGAAGCATGCACCACTGCAAGCCAGAGAGGGGAGGAGGGGGAACTACAGGAGCCAGAGCTGGTAGGTGTAGCAGGGGGTGATGGGTAATGGAATATGGCGCCGAGGATCACGAACCTGGCACGTAGAGGATGGCATTGCCCTCGTCCATGGCGAACATGTTGGAGCCCGTGCAGACGTAGACGCCAGCATCCTCGGGCTGGACGTTCTGAATTGTCAGGATGCCGTTGAAGTCCATGGCGCGGTTGGGAAGCTTCCCGTTGCCGTTCCTGGTCCAGACGAGGGTGTAAGCTGGAGACTGTGGAGCGGAGGGAAGGTAATTACAAACAAATCACGTGTGCAAACAAAAACATGGGAGCATAATGATTTTATTGTTTTGCTACAGGCCATTCTTTCAGATATAGGCTAAATGTTATGTTGTATTTGCTTAAAGCACATGGTGACATGCATCAACATGTACATCTGTCTAGCTCACCACTATCTTTAGATGAGACATTTGAGACCTCTATCTAAGTTTGAATCTATAGCCAGGAGACAGTTACTTCAGTTTAGAATGACGACTGGACGATGAGGGGAAACAGCTAGCTTGGCACCGTCCAAAGGTCAGAAAATGTGTCTGCAAGAATTTCTTAAGCCAAACAATGTTGCAACAACATGTTGCATGCTATTTACTAAATGTGTACAACAAAAACACAGCGCAGTGACTTTTAGAAATGGTCTTGGTGTCAGTCTGTTTCCAGTACTAAAAGGTTAATAAAGTTAATTATTATTGATTGATGACCAGTGTTACCTTGCTCTTTGCAGTGCAGATGAAGTTGACAGTTGATCCCACCCTGACAGTCTGGGCTTTAGGCTCTTCAATAGTCACCTCAATGGGTTTGGACACGACACCTGATGAAACGCAAACAGGCAGTTCACTCATACTGATCAGCCCTGGACACTTAAAGCATAGCAAAATCTTACAGTTAATCAAGTGCAGTTTTTTTTACAATGGCAAACATCAGTGAAACAGTTTTTGTTCTGGATTCTTGCCAGACTTTTTATTTTTTACTGATGATGAAGGTGTGAAGTTTGTGGTATGCAAAAGTGAAGCTTGTAGACTGAAACAATTCTGCATACATTTTAAAATGAAGACTTGCTTAAAATTCAATTTAAACGATTTAAAAACCACTGGTTAAAAAAACACATAAATCCAGGTTAAAGGTCACATATTATCTGCTTTTCAACAAGTTTAAATGAGTCTCAGATCTCCCTTAAACATGTCTGTGTAGTTTCTGGTTATGAATCCACTCTGATCCTGTATTTGATCATGTCTATAAACCCCTCTATTTCAGCCCTGCTCAGAATAGGCTGTTTCTGTGTCTGTAGCTTTAAATGCAAATGAGCTGTGTCTGACCACGCCCCCTCTCTGGAAGGGGATGTGCCTTGGGCTTTCTCACACCATGCCCTATTGCTTATGGTAAGAATGCAGACTCAGAGGGCAGAACAAACACCTAGCTGTGGAGTGTCACCCCACTAGGGAAGGGGTCGCTGCCCTTTGTGATGTCACAAAAGGAAAATCTCCAAACAAGTCTGTTTGAGCACACATTTTCTGAGAAGTGGAGCAGGCAAAAGACGGAGAGGACGGACGTTTCTTATTATGGGAGGGGGTGGTCCAGAGGCTTGGGACTCACATGAGTGTTAGAAAAACATGGTGAAGTGTATTTTGTATAATATGGGCCCTTTAAAAGCTCAAATAACCTGGTCATAGTTGAGGGTAATTTCTAATCCAACAGTTGTGTTTTCATTTCTGATCACATCCTGTCAACAACTCCAACTAGCGAGCATGCACAGCATACATAACCAAACCCATGTGTTGAACCCCAGATGTCTCCTGTTGAGTGTGCTGCAACAAGCAATATGCAGGGGAAAAAAACCTGTTTGCAAATATGGCAGTGAGAGGATACACACTTGTGACAACAATTTCAGCCCGGCTCCTGTTGGTGCTGCGCTGATCTCTGCAGGTACAGACGTAGACCCCGGCATCACTCGACTGCACACTGTGGATGTACAGCTCTGCTCCTGCACATACAGACGAGCAACATGTGTCATGTTCACACAAAAAAATGAATCGTCCTACACTCTTCACAATCAGTTTTTCCATATCAGTTTAATCAGACACACTGAAATCTATTTAAATCAATTTCAAGCCATGTTTATTTTTTCAGTCTGTGCCATGTGCCACACCTTGTCTGCGTTTGTCTGCGCTGCTGGAGATGGGTCGTCCATCCTCTCTGGACCAGTAGAAATAGTGCGGAGGAGAGCCGGACACCTGACACCGGAGAGTGACGGAGCCGCCCTGGGGAGCCAGGACCCTCTCTGGATAGACCTTCACCACCAGGGAGGCCGCAGCTGCAAAGGGCAAAGGTCATAGCAAAAAAAGCTCATCAGGAATGCTCTCTCAGAATATGAAAACAAACGACATCAGAGTGGTGTGTCATGATCCAACACGGGCAGTGAGCTAGACTTGTTATTTCTGTCCCTCAAAGCCAAACTGTGTGGACTCCGAGACAGGGCTAAACAACGACACTGTCTCCATCCAAAGGTTTCCAAATCCAGACACCAGCACCTCTTGACCTATCTTAATAACACATTGTATCACTTTTATCAAAGTAACCTACCGGGGTCTCTGCAGCCACTGTAGCCGCAGCAATGCTAGATCTTTATTAAACTCATTGTTGTCATGCTGATGATCTGCATAGTTTACAGACTTTTATAGTCGACCTTGTAATAAGCCAAAGTCTGCATCATTAGTCTCTTTGTGTTTGCTTGTGTCTTTTAATTTTACTACATCCCTTTTGTGTTGCTTTTTATTGACTTAAAGAAAAAAAAGAGTCACTGGTCACTTTAAGCAGAGTCTCTGGTCTCGGGAGCCCTTGGCCTATCCTTTAAGTCAGTTAGGACAATCCATAGCCTTTTGTTATTTTCAGCAGCATTCACTGCAGTACATTTCTCAAGCATAAACACTTTAATTTTTCTCAGGAAAATAATCAAAACCTTTGCTTTTTAAAAATATTTTCAGTTTAGTCGTATTTCTACCAGAGTGAAATGTAGTCTTACCATCGTATGGGCGACACTTCTGTCTCTCCTGTGGATTTCCAACATATCCAGGAGCACAACTGACGCACAAAAACACACAAAACAAGACTTCATCATCTTGTTAAGGCAACAACTTTCTTCCATACATAAATGGGTCAAAATGTGTACTTTCTTGACTGTAGGTGGTGCAATTTATTTAATCAAAAAAACATCTCGATAGCAGTTTATATTTTACATCAAGAGAAGATGATAAGTGATTTTACCGTTCACAGTACTGTCCGGTGTATCCAGGCTGACAGGCGGTGCACTGGTAGCCTCCATTACCGAGGCTCTCACAGGTCGGGGAGAATCTGTTACAGGAAATACACACACAGACGATATGCTAAGATGTGGTGCAGAAGCAAGGCTCAATATCCAAAACATGACAGAGGGATCTTTATGTGTTTCTGTGAATTTACTGGATTTTATGTTAAGAGTTATTTCAAAGACAAATCTACAAACAATCAAAAAAGCAACTCAAATAGTTGCTCAAAGATGTGTCCTCTACTTCTTCAACATACTTCAGCTTTAGCTTTTAGAGGGCAACTGCACCCTCAATATTTCATGTTATTTGGCAGAAAACAGGTTAATAGTGGAAATATATCAAACAGCAGGATTCACATGACAGCAGAATTTGCTGTAAACAAGAGCAAGTGAGGCGGACACACAGACGTCTTGAGCTATAAATGGAGCTGGAATGTGAGTTGTTAGTATCTGTGCCAGCACTCACTGGTTGTCCGGGTCAGTGTGAGGGCAGGCGCAGGGCTGGCAGTCCTCCGGTGTGCCAACAGTGGGGTCACCGAAGAAGCCCTGGGCGCACTGCTCGCAGAGCTCCCCCTGAGTGTTGTGCAGGCAGCTCTGCAAGGAGAAATAACTCACATTTAGAGATCCGGCAATCTCGCAGGGGGGTTTTAAAATCCAGCTATAATGAGAGTTGGTTTTGCTCTTTTATACCGTGCAGATGCCATTCTCAGGGTGGCAGGAGTCAGAGTGGCCGTTACATTCGCAGAGCTCACAGTGACCGAGGTATAAACCACCTCCAGTGCGACTGTATCCAGATGCACAGTCCTGCAAGAGACAACAATGCATCAGTTAGCATTTTAATAAAGCAATGTGACCTGAAAAAGTCTATTATCATTATTAATCTTAGATTTGAACCCTTTCTTGCTGTTTTGTGCTCATTTGTTTGTTTCTGTCTCTGTATTTTCCTAACCCACCGCTTCAAATAAATGGTCTCTAGCGGGGCGAATAGGTTGTATATTTTGTAAAATGTCAAACAGCTCTTGATCTTCTTAATGAAATTATCACCTGACAAGAGAGTCCCTGGTATCCAGGCGGGCAGCGGCACTGCTCCACCTCAAGGGCCTGGGCCAAACCGCTGTAGTTTGGCACGGCGACCTCCATGCTGATGTCATAGATGCTGGAGGACCTCATCTCAGAGGAGTAAGACGCTCTGATCAGGATGTCGTCCAGATCAGCCAAAACCATCAGCAGGTGCTCTCGGGTGGCGGGCATGCCATCAAGACGCTGCCAGTTTTCCTGTAAACAGAATGAAATATTCTGTTGATGAAAGCGATTACTTAACATGATGATTTAATGTAATTTGATCTGCAAAGCTCCCCTTCAATAGGAAGGTAACAGTCCAGTGCTCACTCAGCAGTGATCTCATGAACCACTCACCTCTTTGAAGACAAACTCAAACTGGTGAGTCTCTCTGCTGCCATGCTCCCTCCTCTGCCAGGGCTGACTGGCTACCAGAGTGATGTCATTACCCTGCAGGAACAACATGGACAAGTGAGTAAACACGGTGACGCAAACATGTCATCCATCGGAGCGAAACAGTGACTCAGCATGAAGTCATACTCACAATAATCTGGACGTCGCCGTCATCCAGTGTTGTTCCTCGCGTACCGGCCACGTAGGAGATGGTGTATTTAAGCTTACCGCCGTAAGACCCAACCTAAAAAACACGGTGAGCACACAGGAAGCTTTAGATCTTTTGCCAGGTCAAACAAATCTGCAGAAATCAACGCCAGATGGGAACTTAGAGCAACAAAGAGTTTGCAGTTACATCAAATCCTTTGCATTAGAAGGGTGGGGAGGAGCAAACGTGTGTAAACATGTAACATTGTCATTTTAACAGGGTGTGTTAACACTTTGCTGACTGTATCACAGGGTAAATGCTTTAACAGGGGCAAACCATTATTTTAACACATGAATGTAGCTAACTTGAGAAAACTGATCAGCATGTAAATAAACTATTTCTGATTCTGAAATAAACCTTCTGTAGCTCTGAAGGTTGGAGGTTTAAAAAACAAAAAAACAAACCTGTGTGTTTGTAGAAGAAGACGGACCGCACACATGCTCAAAAAAAGAAGAGGTCTTCTTCAGGTGATCTTTTTTTTTGGTTCAACAATTATCATTTGTTTGGGGCGCTGGTGACACAGTGGTTAGCGCCCCATGTACAGAGGCAGTCCTACAAGCGGACGGCCTAGTTTTAAATCTGACCTGTGGCTCCTTTCCTGCATTTCATTCCCCACTTTCTCTCTCCCTGATTTCTGACTCTATCCACTGTCCTGTCTCTCTAAAGAAAAGCCCCAAAAATCCAGAAAAAAAAATATCACCTGGACACCTCTGATTGAAATGTTGTTTTTGGGGTGAATTTAAACTTTTTGTGGCATTTGAGCCCGTGTGGGGGCCTATCTTCTTCTTCTTCCATAGTCTGCTGTTTTTGCATAGCCCTCCATCACCTGATGTGCCTATATCTACCTCCTTTTTCTAACCTCTATGTTTGTGACATTTTTTATGTTTTACTTCCCATTATAAGTTACTGAAATATATTGTTTTACACACACAGTCCTTAAACTATTTTTCTAATTAGTGTATTTGTCTTTAAAAAAACAAGAAAAATCCTCATGATGATGACTATGATTGTTTTACTAATACTATGAACTTTAAATGTTTTTTTTGTCTTTGTGTTTTTCTGTATGGACTCTTTATTTGACTAAAAGAACATTTTTTAAAAACTAATGGCTATCAAAATCAAAAAGAATGCAGGGCTGCTTTTGAGATTGAACATCTCTTACTGGGTCCTGTAAGAACCCAAACTTCAAAGAAATACAAAATTAATCACTGGAATACCTCTTTGAAAGCACTTTTAGCAATCTAATTTTGAACCCTTATCAAATCAAATCCTAAGAAACTTGCAGCTAAACAGGTGAAACAAAGATAAAGGAAGCAATATCTCATTGTATGTAACAGAGGAAGTGTGTGGGTTAAGAACCAACATTAAATCCAGAGGGCTCTTGGAGGGAGGGGTGGGATAAAGTTAAGGGTCATAGGGAGTGTGGGCATGTGGGGGTCTGGACTGAAAGGGCCAGTGGGAGGGATGTGTCTTCTGTGACCTGGAAGGGCTGACTAGAGGTCAGGAGGGGACACGACCCCTCGACGTTTTCACAGTTACCTTATCCCCTGTGAACTGGGCTGGAAGCTGCCAGTAGAGCAGATCATCCTGGTGCAAGCTGAAACCTTTGTAGACCAGAGCGTACTGAGAGGCAGAGGAGGAAGAGGAGGCATGAGGATATAAGCCACAGATAAAAAGGAGAGAGAGAGAGGCAGCGAGACAAAATCATAAGCAGGTAGAGAAGCAGCACAAGCAGACGAGCATGCTGAAAAGACTCTCAGGACAAACGTGCTAAACCTTAAGTACACGCTCTACAGCATGCGTGCTATTAAAGGCTCTGCTGACAGCTTGATAACAGCATGAGAGTGGCATTGTTCCATGTTTGACAACTAAAACAACGATTTACAATGTCAATAATGTGAAGATGACAGCTTGAGACGCGCCTCAGCGAGAGCCTGTTTGTAACCAGACAAACAGTATAATGACAGAGTACAGTAAAAACCAATGTTACTGCCAAGCGGACAATTACAGCGACGGAACCGAGTGGGAGCTACTCGTTTAACAATGGAAATACCACCCAGTTAGGCAATGCAGTTATGTAAATTCTGACGTGATCGTACCTCAAATATATTTTGCATTACTTCAGTGTTTCAATCTATAAGCTGCAGGAGCTCAGCTAAACATTAACCGACCTGGATTAAGAAAAGACCATGGAGGTTGCTTATTAACTTTTAAAGCTTTACAATCAAACACAGCGTCGCGGTTTCCTTTTGAGCATGCGCCTGAACACGAAGTCAACCACTCAGTCATGCCAACGTCTATACCTTGCTGCCACCCCCTGAAGACCCAGCAGAAGTCTTGCTCACTGTGTTCTTGCTCTGTTGATCAGAAGCAGGGGCCCCAAAGAGAAAACAGACAAGGAGTCACCGATATGAGAAGGACAGGAAAAAAAAAAAAAGGCTCATACACCCTGCTTCAATCTGTGATGGAGTGTACCTGCAGACGACGGGAATGGCCAGGGCTATAGGATTGGGGTCTGGTTGGTCTAACTGAAGATGAGACACCAGACGGAGAAGGGGGGCTCAGGTTACGCAAAGACCACCGAGAGGATAAAGAGGTGGAGGAGGGAGTTGGGACCCGAATAGAAGAAGAGGAGGATTTGGAGGAGGAGGGAAAGAAGGGATGGGAGCCAGCTTGTCCATTTGAGAAGTTAGAGAAGAGAGCCCAGACCTCATCGTCCAGTTTTCTGACTTCACCCTACAGGGAGGGGCGAGAAAAAGGGGTACCAAGAGATACAGAAGCTTTGTAGCCATGGTAACAGTGAAAATTTAGAAGGTTTAGAATTTAGTCCTTTAACGATGTACAGTGACGTACATCCCTGTGAGAAGGTGAACATGCCGAGTCATGCTGTTTTAGTTTTGACGCTTGGATGTGCAGCACAACAAGACTGCGTGAAAAAAATCAATAATTTCCAACAGGCGGATCCATAGACCGAAGAAGCAGGGGGGTCAGGTGGGCTGCAGAACGGGTGACTTCTACAGTCTGGTGTTAAAGTTTTATGAATGAAAGACGTTTTTTTAGGAGTTGTACTTTGAAAGAGCCAGGTCATATTGGAAAGGTCAACGACGCTGACTGTCTGCTGCGATGAAGTTTGACATCTATGAAGGGCTTTTTATTAATGACGTCAAGAAATTTGTATTCACCACAGGTTGCTAAACTAAACAATTAATGCAAGAGGGCAAAGATTTGCACACCTGCCCTTTTCTACAATTAATAAGAGTTCTATCTCCTGAGTGACTCGAGACAGCAAGAAATGTGGAGAGTAAAACTTGCAGCAGGATGTGTTTATGTTAAAGACTGGATGTATACTGCAATGTTTAATTTGTAGATTTCTGTATAAATGCTCGACATGTTGTGCATGATTTGGTGTTTTTGATAAAAGAGGATTATTGAGGCGTTTGTATTTCAATATGTGTGGTCAATATGCACAAAGATTTTAGGGTGTGTGGTGTTGAAGAAAAAAGTCTTGTGTGGACATTACTTAAAGCTCCTGTGGAACCCTTGGTGTGGCGCCCCCTGTGGACAAAGCGATGCCTCTTATCACTTTCTGAATCTGTGTATGTGAAAGTATTTTACAATATTTCACATCCTGGCAACTTTTACATGTCAATTGTATCACTTGTTGTGAATATTTGTTGTAGAAAATAAAAAAAGGGTTTTTTTCCCCACATTTCTGACATTTACCCTGTGGCAGCGATTACAAGCATTAAAAATCACAATATAAAAACGGTCAATCTTGTCAGTGATTGGTCATGTTTGCTTTTGTTGGTCAAATAGAGACATTAATTTTAAGTTCTGTCTGTTTCCTAACCAGCTTAAAACTCCTCACAGGAGCTTTAATAATCTTTCTGCGTGCCCTGAAATTATGGCTGCCACCTTGTTGAGATGCGTTCCACGGTCCATGGATGGATCACACAAAAAATCAAAACACAAAAAAACAAACTTCTTACACTGACAATTTCCTAAGACTGTGCATAACAACTCAAACCTGCATGCAAATGCTCACAAAAGTCTGTCACAGTGCTTCTGCTTGGTGACCCTTCAGGTGACTCTCCATGCTGCTGCATCTATGAGCTGACGCCTGTTTTCCATAGATGTCCACAAACTCCCAGTGTGTTAGTGCACAATAACAGAACCATGGTGCATTTATTATTCTCATTAGAGATGTGAGTGTCACCTTCACTACATTTATCTACGGTGCCGCCGTTCATACCAAATACCTGGCTAGCTCTTTTTGATCTGTGGTTGTCTTTACGCTCGGAGGCCATTAGGTTCCATACAGACGCATCCTTCCTTAGCTGCTCCTCTGGCGAGCTCGAGCCACTCTATTGATGTGGATAAAGTGAGCTCACTTTGATCACTTTCCTTATCACTGAGCTGATGGTATTTGGGAGTGTTATGGCAGTGTTATGGGAGCAAAGTTAAACCGTGTGAAGTTCTTAAATGGACCATTAATGATCAATCCATTTGACATGGCTCGTGTGATGTGAAGCAGAAGACAATTTCCTTTAGCAATATGCACTTCTATGTGAGAGGTCAAATCCAAGAGGCAATTAGTGGCCACCTTCAGCAGCAAACTGCATACACTCTTGTCAAAAACCATGCTCATAAATAATTAATAAATGAAGACTTACAAAACGTATAAATCATAAAAACATGATATGAGTCCATTAGGAATAAAAATGCACTTCATTACAAAGTCAAATGAATGGTTTTTTTATGGTATAGCACAATGCCACAACATGAATTTAAACATGCCAGACAGAACTGTACTCCAAACTGTAACAACACAGCAACCACTGGCCGACACTGCCGTACCTGCTCTGCTCGTCTTATACGAGAATAGAAAGAATCTTTCTACAGAGGGTGAAAAGGTCAAAAATAGAACTAGGTTAGCCACATGAAAACAAGGGCCATTCAATTTGTGCACATTTGTTTTACCCTGTAAACACACACACTGAAGGTAATGAAAGAAAATGTAGCAATTGAAGAATAAAGTAGGAAGGGAATCTGCTTGAAAAAGTTTGCTTTGAAGAAAGGTTGGCTGAAGTTTGAGGTGGAAATAAAAAAGCTGCAATCTGGAAGCTAAAGAAAAGGAGCGGTCTACAAGTTTCTGTTATTTGCTGCTCAGTCCCAGTATAATCCTCAATAAGGGGTTCATCATCTTGGGCCGGATATTTTTCATTTGTGTATCTCCTACATGTGGTCTATCATACTGACCTTGTCTCCCTGGTAGACCCCTGGAAGCTGCCAGTAATGAGGCTCCTGTCCCAGGTAGTCGAAGTTGCTGTAGGACACCTGAGTTCCCTCGGTGGAAACCTCCACGGTGAAACCAGTGGAGATACGATTGGTGCGCTGACGGTTCACCAGAGCGAATCCCTGGAAGTTCCCTGGAGTGAAGACTGAGGACACCTGCAAGAGAGGACGTTTATATAAGCCCCAGTATAAGATAGAAAAGAACACACATTTTAAATTGGGTGATAACACTTGGTAAACTGCATGAAGACTGTAGGGAAAGAGGCAAAACTTGGACTCAGTCGGCAAAAATAACCATGCCTTTTTTGGTGAACACATTTTTACCCTTAGGATGTACAATCTTACTTTTATTCAAATGCATATATGTCTGTATGTATGCATAACCTTAACATAATCAATATGGATGAGTTACAAAAATATGCACTCCCTGTACAGTGTACCAATTGAGCTGTTAAGAAATTAGCTATTAATTCCAAAGTGGTTGTTTTTTAACTAGATTGTAAACACATTTATTTCTGCAGTAAAAATGGGTATTTTAATATGGGTTTTAATGGGACAGCAGTTCTTTGCACCTATGCATTGGTCTCATTTTTCAATACTGGAGGTTGCTGCTTGGATGTGTACTTTCTTAGTCCTTACCAGGTCTCTGTAGTAGGTAGAGCTGGTGCACTGCTGAGTGATGCCCATACAGAAACAGGACAGGCAGCCATCTTTGTTGTCTGGGCTGAGATGAAAGGTTCCAGACTTACAGTTGGAGCAAGATGGGCCTTCAACGTTCATCTGCAACACAATACAAGTGTGAGAGATAGCTGACAAAATAATAAAGTCTGTGGAGAAAAATTGAAAGTTCTGTTAGATCACCTTGCAGCTGCAGACAGGTCCATTGCAACCTTCACTGCCTCTTTGGTCACAGCTGTAACAGTTACCTGGAAAGGGGAAGTAAAGTAGATAATTAGAATATGTAGACGCTCTATTAAATCACCAACTGTACTTAACTGTACTTCAAGACTATGAGGGGAATCCTTGAAACTTTTGTAAAGCCAGTAAATGGAACAATACTGTACATGTCATTTCCCTGAATCAAAATACAGTATGTACCATTGAGATCATTGCCGCCAACGATACACCGCTGTCCAAGCTGGGGGTTGCCAGTGTATCCTGCGGCGCATCTGAAATAAAATTGACAATGTGTTAAAGCAAATAATTCTAGTCAAGGATTACAATTTTAACCCAAACTACAAAAAGACAGGACGCTGGGAAGTCTGCAAAAAGAGATACTTAAGATACATCATTTACTAAGGGTAGTCCTCTGGAGCAAAGGCAGAAATCAACCATGAACAAAAGAGTCATACAGAAAAAGAAAACACAATCTCTTCTGTTATTCCATCCAGCAATTAAAAGCCTAAGAACTATTCTTATACTCAGATCCATCCAAGAACACCCAGCTCAGTTTTCCCAAGATCAAGAAACATTGTTTGCACTGGAGATGGATGAAGCACTGCTAAAATATTCAACATGTCAATGATGTTGAATCCATCTCTCATAAGAGTGTGGTACAGAAACTGAGGAACACCTTTGCTCAGGAAAAAAAGGACAACATTAAAAGCTTCAGAAGTTAAAGAGGCAGTGGTAAATATAGTTGATATAATGAGCTGCAGTAGAGGATGCCAAGCTGCTAAAGAGGAAAGTGATATCTGATATTATGACATAGAAAAGCATTATGCCTTAATCCCAAGCAAACAACGCCACAGCCACCAGAGCGAATGCTAATCCAACCACAGATCTGTACAATGCAGGGTTTCCCTTTCGACAGCTGCTGTCAGTCTTACCTCACCTGTCCTCTGGCAGATCCGCAGGTCAACAGCCAACAGCCAACAAAAGGACCGCCTTTTTCATTTTGCTACAAACTTGTTTTGAAAAAAACCCTATTCAAACTAAATCCCATGGCAAACAGCTGTTTGTAAGGTTTGGTTAACTCAGTCCTTCCAGTCAATGTTGTTGAATAGATTTAAAAATAAAGATAATTCTCATAAAATGGGGAAAGGCAAAATACATCAAAATAGATTTGGTTGTAAAAAAAAAGTTCATTACTAAATATACAGCTGATGCTAAACATAACATGACAAATACTGTGGTCTAACATCACATTTAAAATCTAACAGTACAAGGTCACAAAAATGGAAGTTTCGTATGGCTATGAGCTTAAAACAGGACCTGTGTATTCCAACATTTCTTTGTATGCTGATGATATGAAAGTGTTCAGTGAAAGACCAAAGCTTCGACACATAAGTGTAAGTATTAGGTGATACATATCAGATTAAATTATGGTACTCTAACAACAACTGGCCAGATTATAATGCAATTTACAACGGGTAATTTTGGCCCCCAGAGGATAAACCAAGATACTCCGTTGCTACAATATATTTAAAGCCACATAAAAATATTAAAACTCAGATTTATGCTGCCAATAAGTTTAATCCAACTTTATCATTACAGCTGTCCATTGAGCTAGATGTAAGCATACTAACCTGCAAACAATTAAACTTTGAACATGCATGTACAATTTCAACCGCATTCCCTAATAGTTTGGCATGTTAGCATAGCCTACTAACATTTGCTAATAAGTGCTAACACAAAGTACACATGTGGTTGACTGTCAAGATTTTTGTGAGTACATAAGTAGTAAATTCAGTATGTGACAAACACTTGTACCAGCTGATGGTGTTGATGAAAAGTCAGGAACAATAACTATGGAATGCATCCTCTGGGGACCATAAATATCTGTATCAAATGTCATGGCAAAGCATCAGTTCAAACCAAAATGGTGGGTCAATGGTACAATACAGCCAAAGCAAAGTAAAGATGCTGTGGTTCTCCTCAAAACGTTCAATATCGTCAAGCACCTTAAATGTGAAATCTGAACGATAGACAATATATAAGAAGTGGACATAGCCTCGTGGTTTCAAAAGTAAATCAAAGTGCCTTAAAACTGCATTTCGTTAATGGTCCGTAGGGAGCTTTATTGTGTTCAGACAAAAAGTCAGGTTGGCAGCCTGCAAACTTACATAGATAGACACGTAACACTACATATTCACACATGGTTCCAAATACAATCCGTTTGGTTCAGAAATCCCGTCTCGGTGACTGACAAAATGCAGAACTCTAAGCAACAAATGGGTGCTCAAAAACCAATGGCTAATGTCATGGTGGCTACGTCCACTTCTTTCATACAGTCTACCATTTAAACTATTCCTCTTATGGCAATCATAAATATACCCAAGATTATATAGAAAAAAATCACAGGGGGACAGAAAGGTGTTCAAAACAGTTTAACAAAGAGTGGGGGCGATACTTAAAAAAACTTGAGGTAGTCCGCACAAAACAATGGACAAATGTAAATACAAAGGAGATACTAATGCTAAGCAATCTCTTCATGGCAGAAATATGTGCAATAGTTATTATAATAATCAAATACAATGTCTCATCCAAATACAATTCAGGATGGAACTTAACATCCAGAAAGTCCCTCCAACTTAACAGTGTCAAAAAATGGTTCCCTTCATAAAGTTCCATTGATATGATTGCAGTAACTGACTTAAATAACAAAATGAGAGTCTAGACATACAAATAATGATAATCAATTATAAATCATACAAAACAACAAATTATTCCCTAATCATCAGGGATAATTTTGATAGGAATGGCCAGCCTTCCCAAGACAACATGAAAAGAACCATCGTGACCTTTTTTCTGCTTTGTAGAATCCTGATCTCCTTTCAAGAGCCGCAGTAGGTCCAAAATACCAGAATGGAGGTCTGTTCTCTTTTTCTGTTTTTTTGATAATCTCTTGGCGGTGGTAGCCTTGGTTTTAGCCGGAGTTGATTTCCTTTGCACTGTTGTGTTTGACTTCTTTTTTGCAGTAGTAGCCTTGGTTGTAGAGGGAGTGGATTTCCTTTTTACTGTTGTAAAAGACTTCTTCTTTCCAGTAGTAGCCTTGGTGGGCCTTGTGGTTGGGACTGTGACCTTCGCAGAATTCTTTGCTTTTTGAGAGACGAACTTGTGCGAGTTCTGCTCCATCTTTTTGTCATTTTGGTGTGGCTTTGCTGGCTTCTTTAAATTGCTTTCTAAAGACTTTCCACCATCTGGAACCTTTTTTGGATCTGGTTCATCTGATCTAAAGGCCTTGTTACGTCTATTGTTTTTTATAGGTAATGAGGATTCCTTTTTATTGGATTTGTCATGCTTTGGTGGCTTTTTCTTTAGAGACGGCGGCTCCAGTTGAAATTTAGTGATTGCCTCCTCTTCTTTGACTTGCCTTGGTTTTGGATTGCTTGGCTGCAAAACACTTTTAGCTGCCACATTGGACCGCCTTCCATCGGGTCTCTTTGTTGGAGTCTTCAGTGTTGATTTAGATGTAGATTTTGAAGCAATCCTAGTTTTATTTGGTGTAGACTTCATCTTTTTCGTTGATTTTGTTGCTGGGTGACCTTTGGATTGCCTAGTGACTGGCTTGAGTTGTGTAGAGTTTTTTATTGGAGAAATGGTAACTGATGATTTGTGTTTTCTCTTTCTCTGAGGAGCAGAGGTGAGTTTGTTTCCAGGGAGGCTTGGCGTAGGTATGCTCTTGGGCACTGTCGCTTTACTGGTGGATGGCATTTTGGTAGATTTAAGAGGCTGAGGTGTTGAGTACATTGGAAGTTCAAGTACTGTGGACAGTGAAGGTAGAGCCCTCTTTTCTTGGAGTGAACGGGATGTATGTCTAGCACGTTTCATCTTGTTCATTTCCTGAGCCAGGGCAGTAAAACCATCAATAAGGATCTCCAGCCTTCCCTCCAGTCTGCTCAGACGGCCCTCCATGTCAGTGTAGCTCGTCTCGAGCTCATTAATCTTCTTGTTTTTCTCTCCGGCAGATTGGAGAGCTATCAGATCCTTCAGCTGGGAGCTGAGATGACTCTGCTGGTCCTCCATACTGTGAATATTCTCCTTCATGTCAAGGGTGTTTTTTTCCAGCATGCTCAGGCGCTGGTTAAAGGTGTTCAGGTGAACCCGAAGCAGGTGCTGGAAGCTGTTGTGTCTGTTCTCTGGGCTGGGTGTGAAGCGAGGTGGGAGTCTGGGTGCTGACTTGTTGGGGGTAACCGAGACAATGCCAACTCCCATTGAATTAGTGGACAGTAAAGACCTTGTAGGGATGACTATTGTTCCTATGGTGGTAGGTGACAGGTCCTCAGTGCCGTCACTATCGCCCCCACTGCCATACACTGATATCTGTTTCTCCCAGCTGAAATTGAACACTGCTTCAGCTCCACATGCAACAGGTAGGAGGCCATCTATCTGCTTCTCCAGGAAAGGGTCCCCACAACTGTCTGCAGATGGCTTCTCTTCTCTTAATGTCAAAACAGCAGAATCAGGTTTGATGCAGGCAGGAACTTTCAAAAATAAATAATTTTGAAGTTGCGCCTAACGCCCAAGTCACCTTCTCATCTTTGCCCTCTTACCAGCAAAGATTGATTAGCCAGACAGAAGTCCTCATAAATGCCACTTCTACATTTATGTAGTAGAGACCCAAAAGTAACCATTGGTCCTTACACAGACAGAAATTACATAAACCAACACCTTAAAATTGTCATTTACAGTGAAGCGCAAAGCTGAAGCAGAAAGCAACCTCTCTGGAAGGTTTATGTAGGGAAAGGACAGAAGAAAGCAAAAGTAAGATCTCAAAGAACCTAAGACCATAAAGCACTTTCTCCTTTGGCACATTTCTTTTAGACAAAAATAAGATCTGAAGAGTAACAATCTGAATACCACCAAAGCCCCCTTATCCATTGACAAACATACATTGCTTTACAATGGCAAAATCAACGTACAGTTTGCAAATCTATCAATCTTAAAATCTGACATCCACCAACAGACCGGGGTAAACATGAAACAGTAAAAAACTTGACAGGTACTTCAGAATGGGTGGCAACAAATTGCATCTCCCATCCTTCAACTGACATGTCTTACAACTGCCAGGGAAAAAAACAAGACAGATGCCAACCACAATCATGCTTATATCCCTTTTTTTTGTAAAAAGAAACCACCTGGTGCTACAGCCTGCCCCTGCTAATCTTAGTGCCGGCCCGCCCTGCAACCACAACAATGAGCAGTTTCCAGAGGGCAGTAAGAGTAAGACAGGGTGGAAAAGGAAAACTGATAAAAGAGAATGGAGAGGGCTTACCTTTCACAGCGTCGGCCTGTGTATCCAGGGGGGCAGCTGTCACAGGTCGGCTGACCATCCGCCTCCAGATAACAGGTTGGAGAGAATCTGTGCCAACAAAGAGATCTTGTTAATGCTTGGGATGTAATGATTTTGTTTATTGACTGTTTGATTTCTAGTTATTATTGGGGCATTGGATAAAAGAAGTGCTGCACACAGTTTGCTTTGCCTAATCTAGCATTAATAGTAGTAATCCACATTAAACTGACACACAGTGAAAAGGCTTAAGAGACATGAACTCACTGGTTGCTGGAAGAGGTTCCAGGACAGGGGCAGGGCTGGCAGGCCTGAGCACCATCCTTCACAGGGTTTCCATAGTAACCAGTCTGACAGCGCTCACACCTTGCCCCAGCGGTGTTATGAAGACATTGCTTTAGGGTCAGGACACACACACACACACACACACACACACACACACACACACACACACACACACACACACACACACATATAAAAAGATGTGTTGAATATACAGTACTTGCAAGTTTGTTTCCACAAGTTGGGATTTTCCAAGAAACCATTAGTGCATTCCACTGCAAAGATTAAAGCAGGTTCAATGTTGGCAAAAAAAAAAAAAAAGAGCGAAGAAGAGCAGCATGAACATACCAGGCACTTGCCGGTCTCCGGGTCACAGCCGCTGGCGTGACCATTGCAATCACACCTCTCACAAGTGCCCAGGTAAAGGCCGGAGGTGGTCCGCGTGTAACCTTCATCACACTCCTGCAGCAACATGGAAAAACACTTCAGGTGAGAAACAAGTGATGGCTAAGAAGAATACATCTTTGTTCCATGGCAGCAGGGAAGACATACTGCAATTATCAATGTGGATCGTAGTGGAAAAGGTTCAAGACCTTACTGGGCTATTATTAACATGCTCAAGCCTATATTTAATGGTCTTACTAATTTTTCATAAACTCACTGATGTGCTTTGCTTCCACTGCAGGGATCAGGAACTAAACAAAGTCCCAGAGACTTTATTTCAACCCAAAAAAGGTCCCTGATAGAACTTTCTGAGAGAGCAGAGACTTTGGGGTTATGGAGTTCAGGGCTGAATATTTCTAATGGGTGGAGTAGATGTTGCATTTAGAAGAAGCTTTCAGATGTCAGCAGAGTAATTAGCCTAATTTTCACAGATATTTGGACGTCAGAGACAACTCAGCCAACTGTGTGCTGGAGGAAGCCTTTTGATGCCTTGCAAAGTAGTTCCTGGGAGTAAAAGTCCAGGGTTCTTTTGGTGGAAATGCAGCTTAACTAATTCATCTAGAGGATGGAAGCTCTAACTCGACCTTGCAAATAATAGTTTGACAATTCATTTTTCCATTTGGTTTGGATGAAAGTGAGATTTGGAGCCTTTGGGGAAAGATTTTCTTTGTTAATATAGGGGTTGGCAACTCCTGAGTAACCAACAAGAGCAAACTAGATTTTTGAAAGTATCTAACTAAGACACTGTGAAAGCCACTCCCTAAAAGGGCCTCACTATTAGTGCAGAACAAGTCCATGAGAATGTGTTGGGGAGAGGACTACAACTACCTTTTTCTGCCATTCTAGTGACTTGCTCACACATTTAGGTTCCTGGAACACCCTGCTAATGGGCAACGAGTGAAGGGCAGGTAGACAGATAGGCCATTGTGGTGCTTTTGCCAGAGTTTTTTATTTAGTGGTTACTGTCTGGAATGGGAGGAAATTCTAATAATATAACATCTAATACAAACTGCTTCTTCAGGTTTAAAGTAAACCACCCTTTGTGATATCTGCATGAGTACCTGGCAAGAGGGTCCTCTGTATCCCTGAGGGCAGGCGCACTCCTCCACCTCCAGAGCACGTTCATTACCGGTGGATTGAGGAGCAGCAATGTCCATCTTGATGTCCGAGATACTATTCAGCACAAAAAAAGCACACAACTATTAATATATGGTGTCAAGTGCAATGCTTTTAGAATACATTTGAAGCTTGTAAATGAGCCTATCAGATGCAGAGGAACCTCCCCCCCATACCTGGTCTCTGCCATCTTGTCTGCGTAGGAGGCCCTGATCATGAAGAGAGTAACGTCAGCCAAAGCCATCAGGAGGTGCTCGCGGGTGCATGGCTGCCCGTCGGCGCGACGCCATGCGGACTGCAGGAGGGATGGAGAGCAGAGAGGAGAGAAAAGTTGGTTCACATGTGTCGGGGATTCAGATTTTTATTTCAATGAAAGGGAAACCCACCTCTCTGAAGGTCACAGTGACAACGCGTGGGGCTCGTGCGAGGGGCTTGGTTTTAGAGTAGTGTTCCAGAAAGATGCCATTGCCCTGGAGAACCACATCCGGCTGACCGTCAATCACCAGCGAGCGCTGTTGTGGTTCAAATTGCACAGTGTAGAGGAGCTCCCCGCCATAAGCCGTCACCTGGTACAAACAAGTGAAAAGAGAACTCCTTATTCAAAACCAAATAGTGGAAAGGCATTTCACCCCTATGATACTGTGGGGGGGGGGAGTCACAAGACACCCATGTTGGGTTGAATGTGAATCCAAGGTTCAAAGGAGGCTCACTACGTGGATGAGTGCTGCCTTTTCACTTGGACAACATGTTAAGGCATGACTGAGTGGGACAGAAAGGGCAGAGATATGTAGCTCGACTAACACTTCACAGTTTTTTGCCCGCTCTCTACTTTGATGTTCCCCCTCTCACCTTATCTCCTCTGAAGCTCTCAGGGAGGACCCAGTAGTAGATGTCATTGGGAACGGTGGCGAATGAGCGGAAGAACACTTCAGAGGAGCCTCTCTGGGAGATTCCTTCATTGATAATCACGGTGCTGGCGCTGTTGGAGAGGGAGAAGAGCTGCGCGTTCACCCCGCCTCGAACCTGAGGACCCACAAACAATTTCTCTGAATGAGATGTGAGCTGAGATTTCCATGATCTCAATCTCTGTTTGCACATTGCACCTGGGTATTTAATACCTGAAAAGGATTTGCTGATACAGCATGGCTACGCAAACACCGACTCAAACCTTGATACTGAAAGAAAAAATCCTCCACCCTGTGTCATTTTGAGACTGGCAACCAACCTGATCTCTATTCCAAGTGGAGCTGGCGCACTGTTTGGTGACGCCCATACAGAAACAGCGCAGACAGCCCTCAGGGTTGGACTCGGATAGGTGGAAAAAGCCTTGCTTACACTCGTCACACAGAGCGCCTGCCACGTTGTTCTGCACAGAAACAAACACAGTATACACACGTGATCGATCTAGCTTATAGGCCCACGATACGACACCTAACAAAGCACATTTAAACAGCAGATTTCACAATGCAATGATATGATGCTTTCTTTGATCAGATTTTATAAAAGTTACAATGAAACTTCACTGTAGCTCTTAGTTAGCTACATTACTTTTCTAATACAGGCTTTATTTGTCCTCTGCATTATTGCACTTTAGACTGTTTTTCAATGTTGGTATGTGTCTTTATTCTAGAAAATAAATTATACTATTTACCTTTATTTTTATTTTCAACATTGGTGGGCTATATTTACTTCATATCATGTATTTTGTGTTGTAATGTAACATATTATTTGTTTCTTTTTTTTTGATCAAATGGGGTTTCATTCCCAAGTATTTCACTATGTTAACCTATACTGCTCATTCTGTCTGTCTCATGTGCATGTATTTTCCTCCTTGTTAAGACATTTGCTGCATTTCTTGTACATTCTTTATCACTACGAGCAATATAGTCACTGTAGAAGTTTGCAACACTGATTGTGTACCTTGCAGCTGCATGGTCTGCTGTTGGAGCTGATGGTTCCTCTGTTATCACACTTGGAGCTCGAAGCTTGGAAAAAAGAGAAATGGAAAGAAGATGACATACTTGGGAAGAAAGTACACCTGGGAGTGTTCCAACCATTCTGCATACCTGAGCCATGACTGAATACTACAGACCATTGTATCGGGGGGGGGGGGCATAGAAAACCTCATGGTAATCATTACAAAGGGTTAAATCCCCATTGAGGTCATATAACAGATTGAAAGAAGAGATCAATGGGCGGAACAAACCGAGCACAGACGATTTCATGCTTTGAAATGAAAATGTCAAAGACTGTTGTTGCAATTGTGGAACATGTACTCACAGTTAGGAACACATTTTCCATTAGGCAGAAGGGGGTTGCCCTGATATCCAGCAGCACACCTACAATACAACAAAAAATAGTCAAACCGCAAGCGTGTTTTAGAACTTATTGTGCTGGTCACTATCAGTCTCTTTTTTTTTTTTTACTTTATAAGCTGTGGCTTAAAAGCACAATAATGACGGCAGTTTCCTCACTTTTCACAGCGTCTTCCTGTGTAGCCAGGTTTGCAGGCATCACATGTCGGCTGTTGGTCGACATCCACGAAGCAGGTGTCGGAAAACCTTATGAAACCAAATTCAAATAGCCAGACATTAAAAACCAAAAAACAAAAGGTTAATGAGCTCCAACAAATACTAATATGAACCCAGCTTTATGGAAGATGCTTTGTGTGTGGTATGCAGATGTGATTTATTACTTCCTCTATTTGTGATGCTTGTATGAACTTGTGTGTGTGTGTGTGTGTGTGTGTACGGGTGTGTCTGTGACCTTACCGCCTCGAGGTCTCGTAGTAAGGGCAGGGGCACGGCTTGCAGTCATCGGGGCGACCTCGGGTTGGGTCACCGAAGTATCCTGGGCGACATTTGTCACACTGAGGGCCCTCTGTGTTATGCTGGCAGCTCTGTGGCGGCGACAACACAATGATCATTCATCTGACTTTGCAGGAATTTGACTTAAAATAGTTAGTTAATTACAAGTCTGATAATTAGGGAATTATTTAATTTGTGTTTGGTTATAAAACAGCACATCCTGTCTGTACTGTCAGTAGGAAGAAGAAAAACAGAGGCTGATTAGCTATGATTTTCAAAAATACTCTCATTTAAAAATTTCTCTCATTTAAACTCAAACACAACATATTGCTTTTATAAAAGAGTAGCTGTTTGATCCTGATTCTAGTATTTATTCAAATCGAATCTAAAGGCTTGTTGGCTTCAAATTCAATGTTTATACTCATCAAGAGTGATTTGGATTTTCTGAACTAAATCTTGGCAAGACAGCAAATGAGAGTATTTCCTTCAAGCACAAAACATCTGTTATGCTAAACTCGAATTATCAGCTATGTGACTGACAGACATTCAGAGCCAAAAAGAAGCCAGCTTTTTACCAGACAGTGCCCGCTGATTGGATCACAGGCGCTGGCATGTCCGTTGCAGTTACAACCAGCACAGGTGCCGAGATAAGAGCCGCCAGGGACGCGCTCGAAACCGGGGGTGCACCTCTCACAGGACAGGCCTGAATATCCAGGAGGACATCTGGGGAGGATCAATGATAGTATGCTCAATCAGCTGTCACAATAACAAAACTAGGATGAAGCAAATTGATGTCTGAAATAAACAACAGATGACTAAGATATGACCTTTTTTATTTTAGAAAGAGAGAGAGGCAGAGATTATATAAAACAAGGCTGATGTGCTGGAATCAAATAGGACATGGTCATAGTTTCTCCAAACACATTTTGGTAATTATTTTCAATTCACTCTTGATGTGGGATCACTGAAATGTCCAAAAGAGGACACTCTAATTGTTGACAAGGGGTGGGAATGACAATGTAACTCTCAATATGAAACCATACTATTACGATACAGCAATTCTACCATGATGAATAGATTGGAAGACAATCATATAATAATTCATCAAAATGTCTGATTACCTGAAAAAACAAATTGCCACTTAAAAGGTCAAGTGCAGGATCAATGAAGTAATTCAGTGACGCCTCATCCTTTAATTTATTTCACCACCATCTGACATCTTTCCTTCTTCTTCTAGTATCCCACTGTCAGTTTCTTCTTTGGTAAATTCACTTGTGATCAATTCATATTAACATTTTGTCCCAATCCTCTGATGGATTTACTTTGAGAGTCTCTAAACGCACCAAACACCACAGTATCCTGCCAAGTGGGTGTTTTTTTTTTCTTACCTGCACTCCTCCACATCCTTAGCATGACCCATGGTGCTGAACTCCACAGAAGTGGTCGACATGATGATGTCACTGAGCGCCACGCTGACCATGTGGTTGTCGTAGATGGTGCGGATGTTGATGCCGTCCAGGTTGGCGAGCGTCATCAACAGATCTTCTCTGCTCACGGGGCGACCGTTAGAGTGCTGCCAGTTATCCTAACACAATGAAAGTGGGTTTAGAACATGATGAGGCATGTAGAGTGTTTTATCTGAACAGGAAATTAAAGGTCAGAACTTTGTTGTACACGAAGGTTTAACATCTATAACACTTCTTTAGAGGACTTCGTCAAAACTTTACCTCTAGATTAAACAGATTCTGTGTTTGTTTTTGCTAGAATCCCTTTTTTAGACCTACTTCAGTAAATTTGATCTCCTTCTGGTTGACCACTCGGCCCGCGGTCTTGCTTTCTCTGCGGTACACAAGTCTGCGGCCATTTCCAACCAGCATCACATCTGGCTTCTCCACAAGCTCAGTTTGGCCGCGCGCCAATGTGTACCGCACCTTGTACTTCAGGGTTCCTCCGTAGACGTCGATCTGAAATTGGATTCAAATATTTTTGGGTCTTAAGTGTGATGATAAGCTAAGTTAAATCACGTCTGTCAAACATTTCTCTTTTTAACCTTGCTGCCCAGAAACTGGCGAGGCAAGGTCCAGAAGGAGTCGAGATTGAGGAAGCGGCGGGACAGGTCGACAAGCTGGAACTCCTCCATCTCAGGGTTGATGAGGAGCTGGGTGGAGGACAGAGGAGGAGTGTTTGGCCTGGAGGGGTAAGTGACGTTCACTCCTGGAAGCACAAAAAACAAAATTCAGAGACACAAATCCTGACAAGTTTGCTTTTATTTTTATAAGTATTAAGTATTTAAGTATTAATTGCTTCATTGCCTTTGAAGTCTTCTTCCTCAGTGAAGCGCAGGCTGATCTGGTTGCGGTAGCGGCCGGTGCCCTTGCAGTTCTTGCTGATGCCAGCACAGAAGCAGGACACACAGCGGCCCTCCACACTGAAGTGACCATCAGGACAGTTACCTACAGAGAACAGGGAGACCAAAAGAGTCTCTTTAAACATGTCAATATGAATTCAATGTCAAAGAATTCCATCCTTTATTTGTGTGTTTGTGTCAAAGTGAGACGTGATTACCTGGATTTGAACCGGTTGTGAGTGTCAGCACTCCATCTGGGATACCAAACACCAGGCCTTTAGCGTTGATGGCCTCACAGGTGTACGCCCCCTGATCCGCCTCCTTCACATCACGAATAGTCAGGGTGCCACGGCCGTTCTCGCTCATCATGGATATCCTGGGAACAGAAAAATAAAACACAAAACGATCCCTTTTATAGAAATGAACTCAGTTAAGGGTCTTTGTTAACTCTGGCCTGGACCGTAAAAGAAACACTTCTGCTGTTGACTCTCACTGTAACAGGGTGCTGAAATATTTTTACACAAAAATCCATTAAACCGTGATTGCCTAACCGCACACACACACACACACACACACACACACACACACACACACACACACACACACACACACACACACACACACACACACACACACACACACACACACACACACACACACACACACACACACACACGCGCACACACACACACACGCACACACACACGCGCACACACACACACGCGCACACACACACACAGCAGACAACGCCCAAAATGAACATTCTGAAACGGCAACTTTAGGAGTTGGAGTTTCACCACAAATATCTGAGTTAAGTGAAATCACAGGTCTGCATACGATGAGTCAGTGTAGAAACACTGATTCAAGAGGGATATCTTCAGTTATACGGCGCGTCTCAAAAGAGCACGCATCATGGCACGCCAGGTGAGACAAGTGTAAAGAGGATGAATTTTTTCACTGCTGCAAATCACTCAGACAAGATTGGCTTTCACCAGAGGCAGATGTTTTGGGTTTATATAGCATGAAAAAATGGTGTAAAACGTGATTCTTTCCGCAAGTTGCATCAACAAAAGCTCATTTTTAACTTCAGAGTTTTTTTTTAAATTCTTAGTGCAGCATTTTCCCCTGACCTAAAGTCATCTGTAATATTAGCTTGGGTTGTAGGTCAGTTTAGATTAAATAAAAGGTTAAAAAAAAAGTGGGTGTGGATGCAGCGTATCTCATCAGACTCACCTGTTGCTGACAGGAATGTGCCCCCAGTTGAGTCTCCAGGTGATGATGGGGGTTGGCACTCCCACAGCTTGACAGGTAAACGTCACCGTCTTCCCCCGCGCCGCCTGAACCGACTCCTCTGGTGGGCTTGTCACAGAGGGAGGGGCTGTAAAGTGTCAGGAAGATGAGAACTGTTTTTAACCACATAATAAAATGCACATGTACGAAAAGGCCGGCATGTGACTGGAATGTGGCGATCCGGTGAAGCTCATAAATGCCTGACAGTCAGCGGACACATACAGTGATTCTCGGCTATGGATGCACAATTCCCTTTCAGTTCTTAATGGACGGTTGACAAAAAAGCTCTGTGTCTCAGCCAGAACATGTGTGAAAAGAGGCTGGTTCACAGAAAATTAGTCACAGAGTACAAAAGGAACTCGGAGGGTGACCGCAGAGGAGAGTCAAAAGGAGCAGAGAGGGTGGTGCGAAAAGGCGTGAAAGAAAGGAGTGAAATCTGTGTGAGAGAAGGAATGTACAAACAAGAGCTGTGGACAGCTGTTTGGTGTGAGACTTACTGCAGCCGTACTCATCGGAGCGGTCAGGGCAGTCTGGCTCGTCGTCACACTGGTAGCTGGCCGGGATGCAGGTGCGATCGCTCAGGCATTCAAACTGTTCAGGAGCACACCTGTCGCTGGGACCCTTGGTGGCTGTAGTCATGAAAAATGTCATAATAAAAGCAACATTTAAAAATTGGCAGCAGTTTTTTAAAAATAAGCTTGTTGAAGTTTTTACAGTAAGCTCAGCTAACAATTTCCTAGAGGTAAATTTAAATTGTATCGCTATACAAGAGAGGTTGCTCCATTTAGTACGCTCGTTTTTAAGAGAGATTCCATAAAATGATGACCTGCTCCTTTAAGGGAAAATTTTGATGACTTACGGCAGTCTGTTTCATCCGAGTTGTCCTCACAGTCGTTGTCTCCATCACAACGCCAAAGCTTGAGGGCACAGCGGCCGTTCTTACACTTGAACTCGTTGGGTTCGCAAGGCGACGGAGTACCTGTGAATAAGATAAGAGGACGTTTGCTGTGGCGTCTGCTGTTGTTTGAGAGCGCGCACATGTCCGACGCCGCATCACATACCACATCTGAACTCGTCGCTTCCGTCCGAGCAGTCCCTCTCTCCGTCGCAGATGTAGTCTCGGGGGATGCACTCTCCACTCTGGCATGTGGCTTGATCCACTCTGCACGGTCCAGGTGGGCTCGGGGGCCTCGGGGGCTTCTTGATGGTGGTTTTTTGCGGAGGGGTGGTTAAGACTGGAGGAGGCGGTCCTTTGGTTTCTAAAACAAATCTCTTGTTAGACTTAGTTTGTGTTTAAGTCGAGAGCTTGACCCTTACTCAAAATGCTGTGTATATAAAATCCAGCCAGCAGTGCATGCTGACGCCGACCGTGTTTCAAGCTGCTGGCCAGTCATGCTGCAGCCACTCACCACAATTGGTCTCATCACTCAAGTCTCTGCAGTCTGGTCTGTTGTCACACAGGTATTCCATCAGGATACAAGTCCCATCCCCACACCTGTGCTCATCTGGCATGCACGGTCTGATGCTGGGGGTTACTGAGAAAGATGCAGAGGGATCGAGGGAGGGGGGAGGGGATCAAAGACATGCAAGCCAAGGCTAAAGTACAGCCGATACACTACACTAATGATACATCACACAACACACAACAAAGTCAGGTAAAGAACAACAGCATTGATGGGGGTGTTTCAACATAATCAAGGAAATGAAGGATGGTATAGCTTAGTTGTAAATATTCATCAAACCAACTATGTGTTTAAGATCACATAAACAGACTAGACTAGCCAACAAGTCTAGATTAGACAACAGATAGACTCTGTAAACTAGACTAGACACACAGCCTGGATTACACAAGGGAAAGTAAAGAAACAGAGACAAGATAAACTAGTCGAATCACACAGTCTAGAGAACGTGGTGACTGACTTAACAGACTGATAAAACATTTAGGTAAGACCCACAAAGTAGTAAGACAAACAAACAAGATAGATGGACCAGACTGGACGTACAGCTTTGATTAGCAATCCTGACTACATTTAGCAAACCAACTAGACTCAGGGACTAGATTAGATGACCTGACCAGATTAAATACACAGACTAGGTTGAAGGAACAGAGTAGACATACTAGCCAAGAAGAATGTCTAAGACCAGTTAAAACACAAAGACTATATAGACTAGACATAGACTAGACACTAGAGACAAAGCCGAAATAGCACACATTTACACCACGCATTTGTGGTGTTTTCACGCATGGACAAAGAACTCGTGAAATTTCCCAAAATGTTCAGGTTGAGCTTCATGTGTGAAGGCAAACATACAATCCATTCCAATACAATCCATTCCAGCCAGCTCCCTAGTAAATATCTGCTATCTACATGAAGTCAGGGTGAGCCGATACGTGAACGCAGCTGGTAATATTTAGAAAATTCCCCTGTGAGCAATCAGGTGGGGGTGATGATGTTTACATCATGTGACCGGTGTGGTCGTCATGCACATAATAAAGCTGCTTCATTCTCTCTTCTACGTGTAGAAATCTAAAGGACAGGAGTGTTTGTGTACTGAATTAACAAGCACAACAGAAAAGAAAAACTAACTAGTCAGACACTAGAACTTGACACTGGTGTGACAAAGACAGGCTAGTAAGAGATACTTAAAAACTGGACCTTAGAAAGGCAATAGACATATAGATAGAGAGACAGTAGAAAGACTTGATACACTGATCGCTTGACTGGAACCAATTCTTTAGAATGAAAAAGTGAAAAGGTACCATCATGTTTCCTTCAGTTGCCATGCCTGTGTACAAAGTTGTCAGACTTTCTCTCAATCAAAAGTTGAATGTGATCACGGTGAACATCATCATTACTCAATCTCATGCCATGCAAAAAGTCCTTCTTAACCAGTTTGCACTATTGGACTTTGTGGTGCACACTCCTACACTTTGCATTGGTGCTTCCATGCAAAACATTCCTCAGGCCACATGACCATTGCTTACACATGGCAAAGTAAAGGTCATCGTCCATTTTTTTGAAAAATAAGAACGCACAAAATGCTCGACTGTTCTTTCTAAAGGCACTACAGTTTCTACAGTACAGTCGGCTCAGTCACCATGCAGCCGCCATGGTGTACAAACCTGGCACTGCTATAGGCTCCACGGGAGGTAGAGGTTGAGCTAGAAACCAGAGGGAAAAGTTAAGGACACTGCCTCCCACTATGGTGGACCTTTATCTCCTGTAGACATCCTGTGGCAGTCTTTCACATATTCATATTCACATGGTCACCATTTTGATCTGAAGTCACGTCCAGGTTGTGAAGTTCACTTGACGTTAATGTGTTCCAGGTTGCACTCATATGTAGTGATTGTGACAATATGCTTTCATTTTACAAATGTTCACACTGATCAGCAGCTGAATAAATTCAATCAAACATACCAGAAAGATCACATCATATTTCCATGTTAAACAATTTATCTTTTAACCGCGAAAAACGACCAATGCTGGCATCATTCACCTCCTAGCTAAGGGTACTGTTTGATAGTATTACAATGTAGGCTAATATTGGAAAGGTGTCAATTTTTAGCAAACAAAGTTAGATAGCTTATTGTAATGTTATGTAAGAAAGAAATCTAAAGACAGATGTAAGATATGTGTCCATTGTGTTTGCAAAACTGTTTGTGAGCTTTCTGTGTGATGTTTTGTACACTGTCCTGTAATTATAAAAATCTGTTTTGTGTTTTTGAAGTACCTGCCCTATGGCTACAAAACGAGCTATTATGCTATTTGCAGCATATTTAGATAATTGCCGATAGGTTGATTTTTGTGCACCGTTTCTCAATCGAAAATGTCCTTCCAAATTTTTCCCAAAACATTTTCTTTTCAGCTTCTGGTCAATTGAGAAGGAGTGACTTAAAACCACTTGTGAGATTCCCTGAATATAAACGTCTTAAATAGTAAGAAATAGTAGTGAGACTTTATAACTGTGTGATTTCAGAGGAAAATGGCTGCCTTGTAAATAAGGTCAGTTCTTAACTTAGCTAAGTGGTGTCCCTTTTTTTTCTCTCGAGGTCTTACCTTCGCCGAGCCGTCTGAATTGAAAGCCCTGAACTGACGTGACATAGGAAGCGATGGCTCCCTCCTTCACCACGTTGTACAGCACGCTGCGGATCTGGTCGTCGTTGTTGTTGTAGTCCGAACCCACGTCCAACTCCACAAACACGTCCACGCCGTCCTCTCTTATCATCTTCCTGCAGCGAGAAAGGCAATGCCTGGTGAGACTCCAAACTGTTGGAAGTGCACTACAGATGGTTAAAGCTCTCTAGAGGTAACTTTGGATGTCCTTTAGAGGGATTACTCACTCCTGATTAATTACTGACTGCAGGCCTCGTGCAGTTTGGAAAAAGGGAAAATAAATATCACCTGTGCCAAAGTGAGACACCCAGGCAGCACACAGCTGCAGGGTATCCACTTTGGGTGTCACAAGGAGTGATTTAAGGATTGGTGTTCTTACTTAATGAGGACAACGCTGACTGTCTGGGCACCTGGAATCCTGTTGTAGTCCGACTCCAGCTGTGGGAGGGAAACAGAAACTCAGTTCACGTTGAAATAAACAATCTGGAGCCTCACTTTCAGGCATAAAGTCACACATACTTAAATCAAAGCCATAAAAAACATGCCTGAACCTTATAAGGTAACGTTAGCTAGTGTACTGTAGAGGTCTACAATGAGGGGGGAAAAAAAGACGTACTGTGTCCACCACTGCTTCAGAGATCTCATTAAAAGCTGGTGAGAAGATGTCCTCGAGCTCGGGGCCGTAGACGAGGGAGTCGGTGAAGTTGACGAGAGCTCTGTAATAAACTAGAAAACACAGAAAGGGGAGGAGAGTCTGTCAGTCAGCCACACACACAATAACAGAAAAACGACCACAGGCTCAGTATTAACGTCCCATCTGTTGCCGGGGTTTGGATATTATAAGCCAGATTCAAGTCGTTAAATTCATTAAGATGAAGTGATATGGGTAACTGTTTGGGAATTATTTCCCCAAGGAAAGCTTCTGGGTTACTGCCTCAGAAAAGAGCACGTCTGTGGCTTCAATAGGAGCCACATACAAATTAAGGCATCTATTTCCATATCTCATATGTGGTATAGTCCGTGCTAAAACCGACCACTGTGGCGTTGCAACACACATTTGCCCTAAGAGGAGCAACACGCTGACACAGGCATGCTCTAGACCCAGATACTCAGATATAACTATGAAACTAAAGTACTGAGGCATGTCCTCCTATTAGTGTGTCTTTCTGATCGTCACAGACCTTGAAACACATTCCCAACATGCTCGGAAATAGCGGCAGACGGCTGCTGATAAAGGCCCATTGTTTCAAAAGACAGCCCTAAGTTCACTGTCTGAAACCAAAATCAATGCAAACAGTCAGATACACAGTGAGTGGATACCAGCCAAAAGCACCGAGGCCACATGTTTGCAACAGACCTCCCGATTGAACGGCGATGATATCAGAGAGCTTGGAAGGTAAGTGGGAGTTTGAGTCAGCATCAGTATTGTGCCAGGAGCTGCAGAGGAAGAGGGGGAAAATCCTCTGTGAATGGCTGTATGAGGGAAGCTCAACATTCCCTCCAAATGTATCAAATCAACAGACGTCAGGCTGCTGTATCAGGGGTCAACAAAGTGACATTGATCAAATGATTCACTTTAAAACGTGAAGCTGGTTTTACATCGACAGTGTCTCTGCTACAGTGTCCTTGAGTAAACTTCTCAACCAAGAAAAAAAGCTACACTGTGACTGGCTCTGCCCTCTAATCACTCCGACCTTATACATATCTTCTTCTCTCTGCTCTCTTGTAGCACTCAGTGCACAGCAAAGAAAAAAAAAAATCCACCCATCTACTTTATAAGTGGATAGAAACAGATGCAATTTTTACATCTGCCTGTCTTGTAAACTAAGCACGCTTTATAATTCCGTAAAGCCATTCATGTGTTGTATTATGACGTTATGTACAAGAGGTAACCATGCTCAGGCCCGATTTGTCCTGGATCAGTGTGAGGGCAGGCTAGCAGGGGGAATGGGGAGGGGGGGATAATCATGCTCAAGCACGGTACGGGACTTCTTTGCCTAGAGTGAAAAAAATCACCAGCTACATCCATGGTGGCTTAAATAGAGAGTGATTGAGCTGGACCAAAACATACACTACTCATTTTTTTTACAAATATGAAAGCTAATGTCTGACACTTTTTGTGTAAAAATTAGAATAAAGGTGCATAATGGACACCAATAGAGATGGATACAATCAGCCTTGATATTTACAGTATGTACTATAACTATCGGCAGCAGAGTTACAAACTCCACTTTATTTTGTAAAAATATTGTAATTCAAAGGTCCACACATAGATAATTCTACTAACCCCAAGCATATCAGAGCCACTTTCAATTCCACACATCCAAACTAAGCTTAGCGTTTTATAGGATCATCTGCTTCTGAAGTTGTTCTTGAGCAGATTAGTTCAAGTAATCAACTTCACCAGTCCACTTACAGACAGACACTTGAAACCTTTTCTAATACTTTATATAACTATCATGTAAAACATCTTCATGAGCTATTGGAGTTGTTTATTATCTTCCAAAATGTCAGCTGTATTATTATAATTCCAATGTCACAGGCTTAGCCCATGAAACTTAAAATAGCTCAGGCCCGCAGGGTGCCCCGTTCGCACACTACTGCCAACACTTTGTTAGGACTGGCCTGCCAGCCTCTGATTTCAGGCTGGCAGTGTGGGTTTTAGGGAGGAAGTCAATATTTGTACTGTCTTTTGCAGTCAGATGCTACTTGCAATGCCAAAAGCAAAGAGTCATGTTCTAAATGGGCATCTGCTGAGCCCCTGGTTGCACACATGCATTGTCAAAGCAATGCTGATAAGGAATCTACACAAACACTCGTAGTCGATTGAGGATGTACCAACTCTTGTGTTGACTATTTCCTCCCTTTCCCTTCTCCTTTGATAATTACATATCTCAAGACATGTAGACTCTGACAGCAGGCATTTATCTTGCTTACCAGGAGAGCCACTTAATTAAAAGTTGAAGATTTTGGGACTCACTGGGTCTGTGTGCTTCTCTGTGTTTAAGGCCTGTGGGGAAACATGCTGCCTTACCCTCCACTGCCTGAGCTTTGGCTGGTAAACAGCTGGCCTCTCTAAACCTTCCTCTTTCCCTTCGCACAGCACTGGCACTACAAGGCGTCCCGTTCCTAGTGAGCAAAAAGCCTCATTTAAGACAAAGTAAACTCAGCACTGCTTATGAAAACACACAGTGATGTGAACGTGTAAGAGCAGAACTGCAGGCTTCAACACAGCCTGGCAGGGTGCCTGAGCTCTTGCTTTGCAGGCTGTTACTGTCAGACTTGTTGAAATAATTGTGAAGCCTGAATGTGGTAACCAAAAGACAGGCAACTTCAAAGTTATAGCCATCAAAGCGCCTCATTTGACCCGCATGTAATCTAATCACTTGAGTGGGTCCTCGCCGCTGGGTCTACAGCAAGCTCGTAGCCGCAACTCTCTCTGTGTAAGCCCCCTTTGACGACACGGACAGGCGAGTGTGGAACTGCCACCGCCTAAGATCCTTTGATTAGAGCCCCGGGTTGTGCCCTGCTGCTAACGAGCGGCTCTTATACTTCCAGACTCATTCTCCTTTGCATCACTCACTGATTCAAGCAGAAGGGAAATCCCCTTGTCCAACTCAGCTATACAGCCAAGACTGATGGATCTGTCAAAGAGCACGGATATGATGAATTGGATGGAGAGGAAAGAAAAGGAGCATTCCACACTTTTAATTTTGAAAACTTCTTCAGCTGTTAAAGCTGTTCAGTAGGACTGTGGTGGCTTTGTGCAATGGGCCCCCTCTGAACACATAGAGGCCTATGTAGAAGACAAAGACTTGATTGAGCAGTGAGCCCAGCCTGGCCTTTAAAGCCAAGCCGCATTGGGCTTGACCTTCAACCCCCAAGGTAGCGCCCACAACATCAGCCTGGCACCACCCGAGCCATTTAGAGAGGGAGCGCCAGAATCCATAACAACAAGGCCCAAACCACACCACCTCAAATATCCCACGATACATTTTTTCCCCATCAAATGTTTTTTCTTCATCCTCTGACCTCTGACTCATATCCATCTCTTTCTTAATCCCCCTCTGCCTTACTGTAATATATTCATATACCAGCTGCCTCTGTATCAGCCTAACTCTTGTAGACAGGACCCCTGCTACTTAACCCTTTTGTTGGTGCTCTGCCAAACAACTCTGTCTCCAAGTCCACTCATTGCCCTCTGGGGAACTTCATAGCTTTGCAGTTAAGCTTGCTCTGTTGTGCCCTCCCACGGTTTGCAATGTAAGCATTAAAAACCAATATTGTGTATTAACTTGGACTCTTCTCGAAAAGGTGGTCCAATTCGCATTGTCACGATTCTTGAACTTTAATATTAGGTTTGATACTATTCATATAAAATGATATCAAAATCTGTTTCGATACCATTGCAAACAAGGAAATCCTTGACAACCAATTTCTTGATTTAAAGAGCCACAAATTACAAGGAAACTCCTGCACACTATCTAAATGGCAAAAAAAACATTGGCAACATTTAGGAATCGTTGCCTACATGCCCATTTTAAAGTATCTCAGTTATCACTCGTCATGTAGTTGAACCAACCTGTGAAACTAAATGGACTGTTTCTCTTGCTGCAGCTTTTGGCCAAAAATCTAACTGAAGATCTGTATTTTTTTTATTTTTTTTTTATTAAGCTTTGGTACTTTTCGATCACATCAAACGTCAAAATAAGATTGTATCATTTAAAAAATAAATGGTATTGAAAAGTATCAAATGAATAGAAACATTTGACCTTACTTCCAATACCATATTTTCCTTCCTGATACCTAAACGTATGAACCAACCAATGATGAGTACCGATACCAGAGGGATGCTAAATAATTTGGCACAAGGCCCACTAACTCTCTATGGCATAAATGGTGCTTCCTCTCAAAACTAAAGCCTATAGCCTCCTGCCACATCGCTGTTCACGAGTACACTGTATGTAATCTGTGAGAAAGCTGGTTTGAATCAATGGGACAAGACATCTGCATGAGGTTAGAATTACAAAACACACTTTTCAAATTAAATCGGGGAATGCATTTCTGCAAGTGTTGGCAGTCCAGAGAGATGAACAGCTACACTAAATGTCATTCCAATTTATCTTTTTTTTTTTCAGCTGGAAACGTCAGTGTTGTCACTCGAGTGAGATAAACTGCAGCATTACTCGATGGAACAAACCCCATAATTTTCCCTTGGCATCAGAAAGCACTGGGAGACGCCTGCAAGACACTTGGAAAAACAGACTCGCCGGACTCAATCGCTGCATGCCCGAGCTGAGTCTTCCTTGGAATGTTATCTGAGAGTGTGTTTGGAAATGAGAGTGCATAACTGAGCGAAGCAGGTGACTGGAGAGTGTGCCAAAGACAAGAGAGGAGAGAAACTGCAGCTTCAATAAAAAAAAAGGAAGGAAGTGCTTGAGGACTTACTGTAGTCTGGTTCGGGGGGGCTCTGTATGTTCCCCAGATATGAAGAATCCAACGAGTGTACTATGGCAAGCAATAAGGCAGAGGAGCAAAGAGCAAGAGACAGAGGGGGAAGCAACGTGACGCAAAGGTCAACAGGGCACAAACAGGAGCCAAGGGTCAAGGATCGAACAAGAAAAGCGAAACAAGGACCAAGGGAGAAGGATCGAGTTAGCAAGGCAGGTGCAGAGAGGTTACAGTTTGAGGAATGTTAGAAAGGAAATGATTGGAAGCGAGGAGAG